CCCTACTCGTCCCAACACACACCAGTCACACAGGACACACCCTACTAGTCCAAACGGACACCAGTCACACAGGACACGCCCTACTGGTCCCAACGCACACCAGTCACACAGGACACGCCCTACTGGTCCCAACACACACCAGTCACACAGGACACGCCCTACTGGTCCCAACACACACCAGTCACACAGGACACGCCCTACTGGTCCAAACGGACACCAGTCACACAGGACACGCCCTACTGGTCCAAACGGACACCAGTCACAGAGGACACGCCCTACTAGTCCCAACGGACACCAGTCACACAGGACACGCCCTACTGGTCCCAACACACACCAGTCACACAGGACACGCCCTACTGGTCCAAACACACACCAGTCACACAGGACACGCACTACTGGTCCCCAACGGACGCCGGTCACACAGGACACACCCTACTGGTGCAAACGGACACCAGACACACAGGACACGCACTACTGGTCCCCAACGGACGCCGGTCACACAGGACACACCCTACTGGTCCCAAACAGACACCAGTCACACAGGACACGCCCTACTGGTCCCCAACGGACGCCGGTCACACAGGACACACCCTACTGGTCCAAACACACACCAGTCACACAGGACACGCACTACTGGTCCCCAACGGACGCCGGTCACACAGGACACACCCTACTGGTGCAAACGGACGCCGGTCACACAGGACACACCCTACTGGTGCAAACGGACACCAGTCACACAGGACACGCACTACTAATCCCAACGGACGCCGGCCACGCAGTACACGCCCTACTGGTCCCTAACTGGGATGTTACATTTCCACACATTCAGGCATATTTGTACAATGCCAGGACAAGTGTGTGACAGTGAGATACAGTCGGACAGAATGCGAATGATTCATTCTCGAGAGAATATATGCATATTTCATGATATATGGACATGGTATTATGTCAGTCGGAGCATGGATATAAATGCATATATATATATACATACCAAGCAACTATTTCTAATTAGTATTTCAGTATCTGCATTGTCCATTTTTCCTCAAACTTTGTAATATAGCTTTAATTCTTAAGAATACGTCCAAGTGAAGAGAGCTGACTCCCAGTCGTATTGCAAACTCGGTGAAAATAACACTGATAACAAATTGTCTGTTATTAAGCAAATTAGGTTTATTTGTATAGGAGAAACAGAACACATGAGATACACCAGAATGAACAACTGTATTGCGGTCAAAACTGTAATTTAAAACGAAATGAATACTTCCGTGTCAAATAATGTCACGCAGCGTTTCTAAAAATGAAACAAGTTTTGGTTACCCGGTAACCTTGGTAACTATTACAAAACATTTACCACCAAAGGCTATAAAAGTGTAATACATCCATATAGACTATGATCAAGCGATATCGCTGCACATTCAATTACCCAGTGTTACAGGATTACGTGGCTCCATAATAGAGAACTGCATTTCGCTCAAGCAGTTGGTAAAATGGATGTAGTCTCGGGTATAGGAGTTAGTGAGTGAGTGAGTTGAGTTTTACACCGCTTTTAGCAATATTCCAGAAATATCACGGTGGGGGACACCAGAAATGGGCTTCACACATAGTACCCATGTGGGGAATCGAACCCAGGTCTTCGGCATGACGAGCGAACGCTTTAACCACTCGGCTAGCCCACCGCCCCGTCTGGGTACTGTCTCAGGTATGGGAGGACATGGAATGTGTATGGGCGTTACTGCTTCTTCTCACAAATACAAAACATAAATTCATCAGCCTAACATTATGCTTCACTAACCAATTCCTTTCAGAAACGATATGGCTGAAATATTGCCGATGTGACGCTAAATATTATTAATTAACAGTTCAGAAAACTCATCAAAGTGAGTAAAACAAAATGAATGGTTATGTATTGAGGGTAATGCATGGCTAAAACACAAAACTGAAGATAATCGAGCGTAACACAAAATATGTAACACAATCTTCACACTGTATAACACTAAACATCAACGCAAGATAACAATCAGTAAAACGTGCACGTACATACCTGTCGCATTTCACAGTTGTCTGTGCAGAAAAGGTTGATTAATGATCTAATATAACTTGATAGCAAATCGTTGTCACAGAGTATGCGTGTATTTTCTGCTACAAACTTTTATGCAATGTTATATACCTATATTGTACAAGTTGTGAACAGATTATAATGTCTAAAGCAGCTCGCTCAAAATAGGATTCATACACGATGCTAAGTTTTAAATGTTACTGTTGGGTCCTCGAGCTGAAGACCTCATACCATGTTTATAGAATCCACTGTTTCATTGCTTTCGTGTTCAGGAATGTTCATTCAAAACATGGCGGGTACGAATACACACAGCTTAATATGACAGTCTTAGATTAAGTATTATTCGTTACACTGTTGTTTTCATTATTTATTAATGATATAGTAGAAGAACTTTCTTCTATTGATGACTTGGGAGTTGTTATTTCTTATGTACGTTTACTTCTGTTGATATTTGCTGATGATATGGTGCTCTTTAGCAATAGTGTTAAAGGTTTACAAGACGGTTTGGATAGGATGTTTACTTACTGCACGAAATGGGGCTTGACCATAAATACCGAAAAAACTAAGGTTGTTATTTTTCGTAAAGGGGGTAGACAAGGCAAGGCTGAAAAATGGTCCTATAATGGTTCACCTCTTGAGGTAATCAATAATTTTAAATATCTAGGTTTAATATTTTCAACAGGTGGCAGTTTTTCACAAGCTCAGAAAATCTTATCAGAACAAGGTTTGAAGGCACTTGGTTCATTGTACAATATATTCAATGATAATGCGTACATTACTCCAGATATTCAGTATCAGTTATTCCAATCAGTTGTTTCTCCTATTCTCTCATATGGTTGCGAGGTTTGGGGCTTTATGGAAGCTAATGCTATTGAAAAGGTACACTTGAAATTTATGAAACACATATTATATGTCAAAATGTCAACTCCATCAACTTTCTTATATGGAGAATTGGGTACATTCCCTTTGAAAGTTATTCGTCTTGTCAGGATTATCAAATATTGGCTTAAGATTTTGAGAAGTAAACCAGATAGATATATAGTTTTGATGTATAATTCATTATTGAATATTTCAAATGAGAACCCTGATGTTGAAAACTGGGCAAGTTTACTGAGAGATACGCTCTTCAGGTTTGGTTTTGGCTATATTTGGGTTGCCCAATATGTTCCTGAAAGTTGTGATTTTGTGAGAGAATTTACGCAAAGGGTTAAGGACATTTATTCTCAAATGTGGAAACATCAATTATCAACTTTAAGTGAAACTAGATTGTATCTTCATATTAAGGAAACTCTGTGCATCGAGAAATATTTAACTAATATTGATGTTAGGAAGTACCGAATTGCGTTTACACGTTTCCGACTTAGTTCACATATGCTTATGATTGAAAAAGGAAGATGGAGTGTGCCTAAAATCCCACTTGCTGATAGATTATGTCCCTTTTGTACTAACGAAATAGAAGATGAGTACCACGTACTCTTGATTTGTCCAAAATATCGAGAAATACGTAAACAGCATTTAAGTAATACTTTATTGGAAAATATAAGTATGTTTAAGTTTATCAAATTGTTAAAAGGTGAAAACAGTTTTGAAGTACTGAAAGCTGCAAAGTGTATTTATCATATCTTAAATGAAAGAAACAAAGTTGAATTTTTGTAAATCGTCCATACATATCCTCACTCTTGGGCTATAATGATAATAACAATGTGATTGCTCTCTTTATATACGTACATCGCCATGTGCACAGGCAAATATTCAATATATATATATATTGTATTGGTCTTTGACCTAATAAAAATCTTGTCTTGTCTTGTCTTGCTATACCGAGTCTCACAAAACCTAGTAGAAGTTCGCGTCAGCTAACCCTTTGGACTAACCAATCAGAACACAGCTTACCAAATCGCGAAAGTTAACATTCGCACATACCGTTTGAACCTTTACCTCAAAACCCCGAACGATTCCGAATGCTATTTCCACACGATCGCTTCCGAGTGATACGCGCAATGAGTAAATAGTCGCTGAAAATATCATTTTTGTCAATATTCAAGGATGTTATCTTGCGAAAATATAAGCAAATAGTAACCATGTCATTAGAAACCCATAAGCGCTGCAGGTCAAATATCTGTGTTTTATGAGGATTTTCGTTTGTTGATAGATCAGTGTCAACGACCAGGGAAAAGAAAATTCAAAAACCGTCCCGCAGAGCCCTAACAAGTAGTCGTTGTCTGATTGGTTAAATCCGCTCGGCCGTCTCGCGTGGACGGTCATAGGTCGCTCAACGGTTAGCTGACGCGACCTTCTACTAGGTTTTGTTAGACTCAGTATAGCAGTGTAACGAATAATACTGAGCCTAAGTTTACTTAGACTGGGATCAAAATTAGCAGTTTGACCATAAAATTAGTAGTCAACTAAGTACTTAAAATCATGATGGATTCTGAGAAAGATAATATGACACTAATCAAGAATGAAGCTTTAAGTTAACATGACACCAACAGCAGATTTCCAAATTATCAGCATTACATTTCTTTTTCTCATCTCCTTTTGGCGAAAATGTATTTAATCAACGAAAATATATGTTTTTGTCAATATATCCAAATTTTAATGAATTCCTTACAAATTTCGTAGAATTTCGAGAGCAATCGTATTGGCGTAGTTTGAGGCTAAAATTCGTAGCGACTACAATAAAATCGTAGAGGTTGGCATCTCTGGGTATACCATGGCAGACCATGGTCACCCGAAACAATGGTAGAACATGGTCATTGACGATTTTACCATGATAGACCATGGTCAGCAGTGTAAGGAATAATACTGAGCCTAAGTTTACTTAGACTGCTTAATATGACTTATCGTCGTATGATTTAAAAAATTTATATTGCTTTGTGGTTCTCAATCTCAATAGATAAACATTCGTTCAAACGCAGCCAGATTCTCGGCAACTGTCGGTAATTTCCGTCCAGGAGCACATGCGCACTAGCTCATTGTTCGATCTTCTCGTGCTTGGAACACAAGGCAGGAGCAGAAAATGTCACGCTACTCAAGACCGCCGAATACTTCTCTTTACGTGAGAAATGTGTCCGATGGAACTAGGTTAGTATAGTACTATATTGGTAGGTGTATGGTTGGTTTGCTGTAAGACTTCAATCGCAGTACGCATGAAGCAGGTGAATTGGCTCGGAAAAGCGCATGGGATTCGAGTAAAAATGTCGGGTGCTGAAGACGAAGTTGCGGGCCAGCCGAATGTCGCGTTGTTGCCTAATTTGCAAAATTATGTTGTATGTACTTACCGTATGAAACACAAATTGCAGGATTGGTAGTGGCATCTTGCAGGGTGGATTCTTCGCGTAGGTAGAGCAATTAATCCCCGATTTGCCAATATGTGAACATTTTCAATATTCCTATCCTGGCAACGAGCAATTGTTAGCAGAAGTTGTGTATACATATCACCTTTTGGTCAACATAAAGTTGGATATTATTAATCTTTATGTTGTCACGGTATTAAGGCAAATGTTACCTGCCATGTAGAATGACTTTGTAATCGACATGATCAAGACCAAACCCAACTCAAGCCGTGTTAAACGAACTAGGATGAACTTCCATTGTTCTCAATTGTTTCAATAGATTGTCAGCTCATCAAGCTTAGAAACTCTTTCCTTCGATTATTTGCATATAATATGGTTGATTTTATCAATCCTGCTATAGATTTTATTTTTGGGTTTTTGCCCCTGGAGAGTCTTTGTTAGGATGTGTCCCGAAAAGGTCAACCAGTGCTCAGGTCTCAAGACGCAAAAAAATGGATCCAGTTTGTCAGGCTCATGAATTTTATGTCATACCAACAACGTTAACTATTCTGATTAGTCTGGACCACTGTTGAATATTTTCATGTAGCAGTCATGATGTGAGATAATTGTATTACTGCATTGAAAATTTTAGTAACCTGTTTCATAGAGTTTAACAAAACTTGGATAATGTTCTAGAAACGAGTTTGTAAGGTCTTTTTTCAATGAATTAGTAATGCACTATTCTTCGTTTTTAAGGTATACCTTAATGAATTCTTTAAAAATAGGAAATGTTGGCGTTTTTTTCAACATGGAAATAAAGGCAACTACTTTATTGGTAGTATATATAGCAGTTAATAGTACACTGGAAAGGTTAAATGACAAATTCACACACTGTAATGTGTGACCTAAACGGCCTGAATGTACAACAGTCTTGTGATTCGTTGTATCTTGTGTAAAGAATCCAGAGTTCTTTGTTTGAATAGATAGGTAACCTTGGTCAAGGGAAACTTCATTACTATGGCATGAATAACATCACTTTCCATCTTTGTCATAAGTGTGCTTGCACAAACATTGGGTATGATTATGTATAAATGTTCATTTGTGATTGAACAAATTTGATTGAAAAGGTAAGAGTTCCGCCAGTAACCCAAGCTTGAAGTGTATTCTATTTATTAGGATTATTTCGAGGGGTTAGGTTTAGGGTTAGATATAGGCTGTTTATAAAAAAAAACATAGGCGTATATTTTTAGTCATATAATGATTAGAAAAATAAGGGGGTTACAGGCGGACACAATTTTCAAGTAGAGGCAGATAGCAAAGCCGAAAAGAATGTGTGTCAGTATTTGTGTGAAATGGATGACATAATGATGCTATGAATGGTCTTCTGAAGTTACTGCAGAATGCAGTGCACAGATGGTCCTTTCCCAGATACACTGTAGGGAGTCTTGTGTGTCCAGGGGTACAGTTTCTATTTGTATTTGGTCCATTGCAATCAAATTTCTTTAATGATTCAGAGCTCCAGATAAATTTTCAACATCAGGAGTACGTACTCCTTATTTTTTCAATACATGAGTACTGGAAAAACGTTAGAGTACTCAATGGAATTTAATGGTGTATCAGTAATCTTGTGTTTCGTTTCATATATGCACCACAACATTGTTACTCTTGTGTAACCAGGTCAATATACAATAAAACAATAATTGTTCTGATAAATATGCCTAAATTATTTTAAGACCATACACCATTACTATGGTGCGTATCTGCTTCGTCGCCTAAATTATTTCCTGTCATATCGTGCTTATTTTCTATCCGTACATACGCCGATACGGCCTTTATCTGGAGCCCTGATGATATATGATTTCAAATTGGATTATCATTTCTAGACAGGATTAGCTGTGAAGGTAAAGCAGATCTATATGGACCCGTAAGTGATTATATGCACGACGGTTATCACACAAGAAGATATTGCATGTGTACAAATGTCCTTGTAATGGGAGCTTATGATGGAATCAAATATTGTCTGTGACTTTAGCAATTATTCCTGAACCCAAATCCTGTAGAAAGTCCTCAGTTAAATAAATGATCATCAGTGATCATACATTAACACAAACCTCTACTGAAATACCAAGAGACTGGTTCAGGCTGGTAGACTCAGGTTTTTGGCACTGATAGGATACATCTTTGTCATGTTTATGTCTTGAAGCACTGTTATTACCAAATGTGTTGCCCATTCTTTTCATGGTGACATCCTAGACCTGCCACCACTTCTGTGAATTTTAACATGGATCATGGCCAGTTTGGCAAAACATTACAAAGTAGTTTCTATGAATGTCCAATGGTTTGTCTGCATTTGTTATATTTCAAGTAATACATGTCACTGCTCAGAATGTTGCAACAATCTAGGTGACATGCTTGTCATATATATACATATATTCGAATGATTATAAGTCATGGATTTTATATGGTTTCCTTTAATGAACGTTTGGTTTTCTAGACAAGATGAGTTGCGAAGTTTGTTTGGCAAATATGGACCCATAAGTGATGTTTATGTCCCTGTGGATTATCACACAAGAAGAGCCCGAGGATTTGCGTACATACAATATCCTTACAGGAAGATCTAAATGTTGATGATACAGTCTGTGACATTAATCACTAGTCCGTAGCCCCCTGTCTATTTGAATGTCTATTGGTTAAATGAAAGACCAAATATTAACACAAAGCTCCACTGATGAGACAGATTCGGGCAGGTGGACTCGGGTTTTGGCACAGGCTGGATACGTCTTTTTCTCATGTTTATAGGCTGTGATGTTTGTTATTACTAGGGCTGTTACGATTCACTTGTGTGTTTGGTGAATCGACACGTATCCATTCATGAATTCAATTCATCCATCACGATCACTAGAATGAAATATTCATGAATATTTTAACAGGTGTTTTTACTTTATTTTGGGTGCATTTATCAACACGAGATATACAAAATTCTACGCCAGTCAGGATGATAGCAACACTCATGTATTAAATTTAACTGTATTGCGATCACTGGCCATTGTTGTCATAAATTAAGACTGAACATGGTCAAACAATTTGTTATTCAGTAAAATTGTATTTGTACCCAGTAATCGTGAGATGTATCATTCACTTTCTGGTGGATTCGTTACAGCCCTAGTTTTTACCTCTTGAAAGAACACAAGGATGATTAATGCTTCATTATGGCACCATTCTGTCATCTTTGATGTGAAATGTACAAAATTTACAACAACAAAAATAATCAATATTGACACATAGAGCTGGCTATCGATAGAGATGAATAATCGGTAAATATCAGAAATGGTCTTGAGAAAAAATTGTCCAACATGTCTGAAAGAAATCAACATTTTTCATATCATTGCATATGTATGCATGGGTTACCTAAAAACACCAGTGACCTCAACATAATTTAGTAGTCCGTGAATAAAGACCAAGCTTTGTGTATTGTGCAAGTAAATTAAAACTATATTTCATCACAATAATTTATTTATGATATTAAGAATGACATTTTTTCATATTGATAATGGCAAATAATTCTTCTCATCGGCAGTATTTCTGATTATCAATGTTTTTAGCCAGCCCTATTGGCACAAAGTATCCTGTCTGAAGCAGTGTTTCTACCCCAAGTATGGCCCATTCTTTTCATGATCACATCCTAGACCCGCCACCACTTATGTGAATTCTAGTATGTACCATGAGCAGTTTGACAAAACATTACAAAAAGTTTCTGTGAATTTTCAGTGGTTTGTCCGCATTTTTTATTATATTTCAAGTAATACATGCTGCTATTCAGAATGTTGCAAGTAAATTAGTAATTGTAATAAACTGGGTCACATGCTTGGCATCATATACATAATTACATATATATGAATGATCATACATCATTGATTTTTTTTTTTATTATTATTATGGTTTCCCTAAATGAACTTTAATTGGTTTTCTAGACAAGATGAGTTGCGAAGTTTGTTTGGCAAATATGGACCTATAACTGATGTTTATGTCCCTGTGGATTATTACACAAGAAGACCCCGAGGATTCGCATACATCCAATATCCTTGAATATGTGGACCAATACTTGACACAACTACTGTTGGGGTGATTGGTCGTTTCTTCAGTTTGTTACGTTCTGTAGTTTCTACAATAGGAATGTTCTGAAGGGTTTGGAGACCTCCATCTATCTCAAGTTTGTCCTGTGCACAAGTGATGCACTAGTACCGGAATAGCAAAACAGTGGTTCAACAAGTTTGCTGCTACGTGGTGCTTTTCCCGTCTTCTTTTTTCCCCCTCTTTGATCATGGATTGTTTGGTCGGACCATCTACATAAACACATGACAGTGATGTAGCTGTAATATTGCTGACTGATGAAACACCATACATGATACGTGCAAGATGTATACAATTTTTCAATCGTGACATTTTTACCAATAAAGATTACACACCACTCATAATTTTGACAGTTTTATGAAGTTGTTTTCCAATTATTCGTTATTGCTTTTTGGCCTGTTTTTAAAAAAAAGATTTTAATCATTTTGACTGTTCTTTCAAGTGTTCAATTGAATTTTAACCATTTTAGAAGCACAATTTTATCATTTGGTTCATGATTATCGCAACTTAACCATGTTAAGATGAAAACTGGTTAATTTGGAGATTGTCGTTTAGCAAAGCTCAATACCACAATCAACTAACCTCATTTGTTTCAGAGTTTGAATGTTAGTTTACCAATGTTAAAATGATTTGTAGCACAATGTTGTAAATTAATCTGTGACTGGAAAATTGTCAAAGATTGTCTGAACTTGCTGAAAGGGAAGAAACATTTTATTTGTCTGACATCCAACTTGATTAAACTTGTTATTTCATTTCTTTTATCAGAATACAAAGACAAGTTAAAGTTAAACAAGTACAACCTATAAAGGACAAAGTTAGAGCCAGGCAAAGAGCAAGCACAGGCTGACACCATGGGTCAATTGCTACGGTTTACCATGCAAATCGCAAGCGAGTCCCCTTGCATGTCCAGGCTGTCCAAAATAGCTGGGCTTCCCCTGCTTTCCTTAGTCCCATTGCTTGAGGCAGTACAAGTTCCAAGTCTTTGCCAGTACCAAGCCCACTTAATCATTCCAATACAGTTCAAGCACTCAAAGCAATTTCGAGCCATTTCAAGTCCATTTGTCTTTTACAAGTCAAGCAGGGCAATCTATGACCAGGTTTCAAGGCACTAAAAGCATTTCACAAGGCATAGTAGTCAAGGTCAAGAATAACAAGTTCCAAGTTGAAGCTGTTTCAAGGCAAGCCAACAACGGTCATTTGTCACTTGTTGGCTGATGGTCGCTTTCTTGGTGTCTGTTTGGCTAAGTTGACTTATATCCAGCAAATTGAGTTCTATTTTATTGTAACTTGGTACTATCACATTCAAACGATGCAAGGCGCATGCTGTTCATTTTGTTTACCTGTTCGTAATTTTTTTTAAGAGAACATGTTTTTGGTTGAACAGTTTTTTTCCTTTCTTAAACTGTTAAACTGTTTCAGTGAACATTTGTAACATGAATAGAGCCTATCAATTCAGCATTCTTTTCTTCTTTGATAAAATGTTTGCCAAAGGTGTGTGTTAAGCCCTTAACCAGATCACATTTGAGGATCCCAGAGATGCTGATGATGCATTGTACCATCTGGACAGAACACGCTTCTATGGCAGAGAGCTGGAGATCGAGTTTGCTAGAGGTGATAGAAAAAGTGAGTGGAAAATTTCCGATTGGTAATGCAGGCTAGATGTGCAAGAAGGAGCCATGTCATACTAACACTCAATGGGTAACTGATTGGTTGTTGGTGGCTTCGGCAATAAGAGAATAGTGACATAATGGTTACTGCCATTCACAGGTATCTAATTTGGTAATAAACATCAGTAACAGAACAATTATTGTTGCAAATATAATAATTTGTGCAAATCTGAACTTATCTAAATTGCAGTCACATACTTTGGTCGCTGAGAATTTACCTGGAAAAGATTGAATTTCAAATAACCCATACTCTGTATGGATCATCGACATACAGTTACAGCCCTTATTTTAAAAAACAATAATTATTGAATGTCGTTAAGCTTATTTTCCTTTCGGTATTTACAAATTTAGAATAATGAGGTAATTGGTAAATTCTGTTCGATTTAGAAAATGTACATTTGATTACAATGTTACTTTTGTAGCTGCTGGACAGATGAGAAGCAAAGAAAGAACACGCCGTTCACCATTTGGAGGTCATGGGTATGATGATCATGACCGTGGAGATCGTGGTGGGCGTCGCCGCAGGTCCAGATCAAGGAGTCCTAGGTTTGTTATTGACTTGCCTCTTAGTATTCACTACCATTGTAGGGGGTGGTTGCATTCACTCATCACACCGAAGACCCGGGTTCAATTCCCCACGTGTGTACAATGTATGAAGCCCATTTCTGGTGTCCCCACTATGTTTTTGCTGGAATATTGCTTAAAGCAGCGTAAAACTAAACTTGCTCATTCACTACCATTATAAAAACATTTCTTAAGTATGATAGCCAAGTACACTACATGAATGCTGCCCTGTGAAGTATATGTACTTGTGTGTAAATGCAGTCAGTCAATCTAAATATATTTAGACTAGAGATACACTACATGAATTGGATCTTACTTCGTATCTTGAAATCTTGTCTTTAACTTCTGTTAACAGGAGATCTCGAACAAGATCCCCAAGGCGAAGGTAAGATACATAATAATAAATACAATTTAATTCTTGTAGCTTCTGTTTAAAGCATGGAGTTATCATCCTCTTATAGTTATGTTCCAAATTAACATTGATAATCAAGGGTTTCATTTTCATAAGCATAGTAGTTAAAAAAAAAAGTCAGAACTTAGGGGTCCCTATGTTCAATAATTATGGAAGCAAGTATTAATGACCTCAGAATGCTTCATTTTAGACACCAATGTTCATACTCCATTTTAAGGTGGAAATAGGTAGAGTATGAGACTGTTGACTGACTTGGTAACATGACACGATACAGAGTAATAGGCATGAGATGGAAATTAGTGTTTGTATATACAGAAACATCTGTTTCAGGAGGTCCTACAGCAGGTCAAGGAGCAGGTCTTATGACAGAAAAAGAAGCATGTCCCCCAAACGACGGTGAGCATACTTGCAGGTGTTTATACAATACTTACCTCTAATCTTTTTAGTATTGCCTGGTCCACTCATTCAGTATTGTCAGGGGGACTTTGTAACAAATGAGTTTTGCATATTCATGTAAATATTTTACTGTGGTTAATAGGGCTGCAACGAATACACTATGTGGTGAATATGATATGTATCATGATTATTGGGTAACGAATACGAATAATTATTCACGAATACAATATTGTAGTTAAGTGATTGATGTACAATATGGAACGCCCATGTTGACAGTTTTGATTTGTCACAGCAATAACCAGTCATCTCATGACACTCAAATTTGGTATGTAATAGTTATAATTGACAGTACCATGTGTGGCCTTGGCAAACTAACATGACTTGGGCATATTCCATTACTGCATATCTCACTTTCAAAAAGTACACAAGGGTTCAAGTAAAACATGCTCCCTTAAAAAACCGTAAATATTCGTTAATATTCGGTTCTGCTGACCACGAATAACGAATTGAATTCATGAAGGGCTACGGTTCGATTCACCGAATATACGAGTGAATCGTTACAGCCTTAGTGGTTAATCATTATTGGTTTCAGTAAGCAAAATAAAAACTCTGTAAGGCCTAGAAATGTCTTTCTTCTCAGGCACCACCGCATCACCACAAACACAATCATCTGCCCCAACACGATTTCACGAAAGTAAATGTAAAGAATGTTGGATGAAATCTTGAATAATACTATTATAATGCATTGCTAATGAAGTCCAGATAAACAATGAACACTTGGGAAAGGAAAAAGCAAACATGCATGCTCCAGTTTGGATTTGTTGACTATTTCAGGGTTTATGTGCTTAGAAGAACGTCTTCATATTTCATGCGCACAATTTATGTATTCATATATAACAAATTCTCCTGATATTAAAACAAAGGTGACCATAAATAGTATTTTTAGCTGGTTATCAGGTTGGTGTGCATGAATATATTGACTAAGCTCTTGATAGTATGGTATACATTGTACATACACTATAAACATTTGATAACATGAGTTGAGTTCTGTGAATTACAACTGTACAAACGATTGGACTTACTGCTGAAAGTGTTACCACCACAGTGATCATTACATGCTGCTTCAACTTAGATGAAGGGATAAAGTTAACTTGCCATGGTTGGGAAAAAAAAGGCATCCACCTGCCCACTCGGTTAATTTCAAAAGCCACTGCCTGACTACCAATTCTTATTTTATAGCCTAAGAAATGCATATCAAATTTGTGCATAATTTTCCTAGTTAATAGAAATTTAATATTTTTATCCCCCGCAACGCGTTTTTTATGGATCTGGTGGTGTACTTGTGCCTTTTGGTAGTTTTGGAATTCTCAATAAACTATTTTTGGCGTTTCCATGGCAACAATTTTCACTTAGCCTGAAATTGTGGTTGTGCTCTTTTCCGGAGCTGAACTCTAAAACTGTTCACTATTTCTTCACCAAACTTGGCACATAGATAGATCTGGTGGTGTACTTGTGCCTTTTGGTAGTTTTGGAATTCTGAATAAAATATTTTTGGCGTTTCCATGGCAACAAGTTTGACATAGAATGAAATTGGTGACAGTGCTCCTTTCTGGAGCAGAACTTTCAAAACCTTTCAATACTCTCCTTCCACTTTTCTATATACACACATGAATATTTGACATAATCATAACTCGTAGACATAATCATGAAGAGTATTTTGCCATTGAGGGGGATATTGATGACTTTGTCTTCTTGTTTTACATTGTTGTGTGTATCGTTTCATTTAATGTTGGCATATATCAGTTTTGATCTTTCATCACATAATTTCATCCAGAAATGATGAGTGACAGCAAATGTTCACATGGTATATTGAGTATTATCAGTTCTTAAATTAGCACCATGATTTTTCAGATCCCGATCCTTCAGTCGTTCTCCATCAAGGGGAAAGTCGCCTGGTGGTCGCAGTCGAAGCAGATCTGGGGAGAAGTGATCCTTTTGTCCTAGATCCAAGTATTACATCTGATAATCATGTGAAGAGTGAGCTCGAACATGTCAGCAGCATCTTGTGGCAATGTTGTCTCATTTCATCTGTACATATCTCAGTGTCTGATCATGTGTGCATCTCGCTGTATCACACCATAGCTGTTGAACTGAACAAGGAGACTGACACCCCAAGCGGTTTTCTACTTGAACAATGCAAGCAGTACACAACTGTTGCCATTTTATGTTCTTAAAAGTATTTTATCCTGTAATAAATGATAATGTTGCTAGCAGATGCTTGACTGTTCTTCTTCCTCTTCAAGTTTTGCTAGATTCGGATTTCCTCACCAAATGAACTAAGAACCAGTCTTATTTTTATCCCCCGCAACACGTTTTTTTTTGGGGGGGGGGTATTAAAATGGACTCCATCCGTGCACATTTGTCTTTTCCGGAGCAGAACTCTAAAACCGTTCACTATTTCTTCACCAAACTTGGCACATAGATAGATCTGGTGGTGTACTGATGCTTTTTGGTAGTTTTGGAATTCTGAATAAAATATTTTTGGCATTTCCATGGCAACAAGTTTGACTTAGCCTGAAATTGGTGGTAGTACACTTTTCCGGAGCTGAACTCTAAAACCGTTCACTATTTCTTCACCAAACTTGGCACATAGATAGATCTGGTGGTGTACTGATGCTTTTTGGTAGTTTTGGAATTCTGAATAAAATATTTTTGGCATTTCCATGGCAACAAGTTTGACTTAGCCTGAAATTGGTGGTAGTACACTTTTCCGGAGCTGAACTCTAAAACCGTTCACTATTTCTTCACCAAACTTGGCACATAGATAGATCTGATGGTGTACTGGTGCCTTTTGGTAGTTTTGGATTTCTGAATAAAATATTTTTGGCATTTCCATGGCAATAAGTTTGACATAGACTGAAACTGGTGATAGTGCTCCTTTCTGGAGCAAAACTTTAAAAACCTTTCAGTACTCTCCCTCCACTTTTCTATATACACACCTAAATATTTGACATAATCATAACTCGTAGACATAATCATGAAGAATATTTTGCAATTGAGGGGGATATTGATGACTTTGTCTTGTTTGTAATCTTCTCGTGTAAAAGGGCTACATGAAACAATTGACCGTGCATTATAACAAAAGTGATGATTGGATTTGTGCATATAGTGATTTGTTAAAACAAATAGCCTTACAGTAACAGATATGGATATAGTCGACACCTTGTCCGTAATCATTTAGTTTCTGGAGCATAACTCAAAAACCTTTCAATATTTTTCAAAGAAAATTGGTAGATATATCAAACAGAACCTAAGGTGGTGCCTTTTGCTATTTACAGACGTTTGTGATTTATTTTCTTGGTTTCCATGGAAACGATTCAGACTTAGTCTCAAAAGGAAGGGATGGGCTTCGTTTCCGGAGCACAACTCGAAAACCGTTCCATATCATCAGAACTTGGTAGATATTATGAGGCAGACCTTGAGGCCTTTTGCTATATACAGATTTTTGGCATTTATATTTTTCATGATTTTCATGGGAAAGATTTGGACTTAGTCTAAAAAAAAAAATCAAGCTGGACTTTATGTAACTGTCAGATGATTTGTTCTTTCAAATATGTGGGGTTGGAGGGATATGTCATCTTCTGATGACTCTTGTTATCGTAGGTTTATATCATGGATATTGACCATTGCTTCAGAGAGGAGTGGTTTGTATGTAATCTCTTCAGAGGCTTTTCTTTTCACACCAATACAGGATGGGTTGATACATAAATCTTGCAAAGAGGATCGACCATTTTATGATGGATCACAGGAATCAAACTCTGCCTACCGAACAGTAGCAAGACACTAACCATAATACCACAGAACGACTTCATTAGAATATGTTGCCGTGTTTCCTGTCCAGAAATATTAAAGGAATTTCTTTTGACTTTCATAATACACTTTTAAACATATCACCAAAAGTCTGCCCTGATCCCACAGGCATTTCCCTGATGTAGTGAAATGTCATTGTGCCCCAATTGCATATCGATGCTCATGCTGTTGATCACTGGATTTGCCTGGTCCAGACAACTGTCATATAGCTGGAACATTGCTGGGTTTAGCGTTAAACAACAACGAACCCAAGCATTAAACTGCATGACAATAACTTTTGAGTTTGGGCTAGCCTTGTGGTTAAAGCATCCCCTCGTCATGTCCAAGACACAGGTTCAATTCCCCACATGGGTACAATGTGAAGCACATTTCTGGTGCATGGCAGAGATATGGTACTCCATAATATGATCCGATACCCGTGCTTCAAACAGTTAAAAATTATCATTGAGGTGTTCGGTAAGATCAGGGATTCTCCATGAATTTCTGAGGAATAGCCCTTGACTTATTACTTGTTTTGAAGATTGATACAACTTTGTCTTGCGATCACTGAATGTGATCGTAAAAATATCACATTGAAAACTTCCAACATATAGTGCCGATACCTGGTTTCGAACCTGCAACCCTCCGCTTAGTAGCTTGGCAGTTTTATCCACTAGGCTACGAAGGACCGCTGTGAAGAATAAGATTGTCAGCATGAACTGTGTGTTCCTCACAAGATGGGTAGTGCATGTGCATTGCCAGTCTCATCCCAATTGATTTCAACAGTAAATACCAAACATTGAAATTATATCTCATGTTTTATCATCTAATGGCGGTTGTTCTCGGTGCAATAAAGCGATCTGATAAACTTGGTATCCAAATCTGATAACTATGCAAATTACGTCAATCCACGAACTACTTTCACAAAACTCCATACACGCCATGTGAATCCTAAAACGTTAACATTTCATTGATGACATCACGAGTTCACATTGTTCGTACACAAACATGGCTGTCCCCATTCTCAAATTTGGTGATTCTGTAAGCATTGATGACAAGAGGTTCTGGAGTCGTTACTGCAGTAACTGACTTTGGAAAACATGAACGAAGTACTTCGTTCAAATTGAAGGTAAGGATTATGAGGCACGACTGAAAGGCAATGGTCTAAGAAAGGTACCAACCAAGGATTTCGATGTATCGATCACAATACAGATGACGAATCGATTCTGTCAGGTATCAGAAACTGATATTGATGAGGTGGTTACCCGCAATGAAAATAGAAACCCTGCCCGGTTTTGTTGTTCCTTTTAGACAGAAAGATCTCATTTTAAGCACGAGTTAAACATAAAATACTTAATGAAACACTGACCATAATCAAAACGTCGGACCAACTCCGAGGTATTTTGCAGAATTTAAGACCTAAAATAAACAGCTGTTGAGCAGCTTTTGTGGAGAAGTGGATAGACTTAATCCCCTATTCACTATCATCAAAGAGAAATTCAACAAAATGTATCTAAGTTCAAACGTCTCTAAACATACAAAATAAAATACAAAAACAAAATATGATATGCACGCCTTTAGAGTCTCTATAAAAGACATATGTAAGCTAAATGAGTTTTGTGCAGTGGTTTTTGAGTTCCAATGAAACACGTAGAAGCTCAATCAATTCTGTTGAGCAGCTTTTGTGGAGAAGTGGATAGACTTCACCCCCTACAACACTATATTCAGAGAGAAATTCAACCAAATTTATCTAAGTTCAAACAGCATTAAAATTGGAAAAATAAACAAAATCAAAATATGAGATGCACACCTTTAGAGTCCCTATAAAGCACATGTGTAATCTAAATGAATTCCATAAAGTAGTTTTTGAGGAGAAGTGGATAACGTACACCCCGTTGGATGGAACAAACACTGGCTGAATAGAACATTAAACTAAGTTCAAACATCTGTAAAAGTGACAAAATTAAGAAATTGCATAAAAAATTATGAAATGCACAACTTTAGAGTCCCTACAAAAGACATGTAGAAGTTCATTCAATTCTGTTGAGCAGTTTTTGTGGAGAAGTGGATAGACTTCATCCCCTATTACACTATCATCATAGAGAAATTCAGCAAAATGTACCTAAGTTAAAATGTCTCTAAACTTACAAAAAAAAACAATAAAATAAAAAAACAAAATATGAGATGCACACCATTAAAGTCCTAAGAAAGCCCATGTATAAGTTCATTGAATTCCACAGAGCGGTTATGGTGGAGAAGTGGATAGAATACATTCCCTGTTTCGTGCGGACGGACGGACACCGAAAGTAACCCTTTATGCCCCTGCCATATATGGCGGGGGCATAAAAAGGTTGTTTAACAAACTATCATTAAAATATTGACACAGCTCACTAGTTGTTACGAGGGAGGAGTGCAGGGAAAGGGACAGCCAGGTGTGCGAGAAAGGATGGAGACAGCACAGCACAGGCTAATGAATTAATAACTTTGTCGGCACTTGTGCACGTGCTTCTCCAACACCTGGCTGTCCCTTTCTCTGCACTCCTCCCTCGTAACAAATAGTGAACTGTGTCAAAATTTTAATGATAGTTTGTTAAACAACTTTTTTAATTTTAGGACTTAAATTCTGCAAACAAATCACAGAGTTGGTCTGAATTTTTTATTATGATCAGCGTTTCATTGAGTGTTATATGTTTATTAGTTTTCGAAATAGATTGCAATTCATCGGTCCGATTTTGAGCCAAACGGACTATAGTCACAACCATATGACGCCGTCGTGAACAACCTTCACCTTGGAGTACCGCTAAGTGTTCTTACGGGAATGCTCGATTCTCTTCATATAAATTCACATACGATTTGCTTCTTTTTTAGAGTAGTTTTAAGAATGACATATCATAAAGAGATTATTAACCTTGTGTGTTTCAATATCATTAATCATATATTAGGAATATGCATTATGCTCGCATAATACAATTTTTATTCCTAATATATGATATTAATGATACGGAAACACACTCGGTTGATAATCTCTATTTATCCTATACATATACCACACCAGTAAAAATCAGCTGATCTGACAAGTGATGGAGGAAAGAGTGATCAAGAAACTGACATCAGGAAAATATCTTTATTCCATTACAGTCATATACACACGTATCACTTAGACTGACATGTGACTAACAGTAGACGAAATCCGTAATACCAAAAATGGAGCATCTCACATTCTGGAGGTCTAAAAGCAACTCAACAATAGGAGAACATAAGTGAAACTAGTTGTTTCAACAACATCAGTCCTAAGATATATTTACAAGGAGCATATCAACTTCAGTTCCTCGGATGTAACACCACTAGAGACTTGTGTAGAAAATATGACAGAAGCATTTCAAGTGTGTACACAGAAAACAGACTGGACATATTTACAGATAATGATACTAGATGCTAAAAATGTACATGAAGCTTATTCATCTTGAAGAAACGATCAACAATGAAATAAGATGCTCAGTTGTCACTTGATGGACTCCTACTGATGCCGCCAGGAGACTTTCCTCGTGACATGGAGCGACTGAAGGATCGTGACCTGAAAAAAATATTCACAAGTATGATCAAAATCAATATTTCAACTGACCTGAAAAGGCTTAGAATCTAAATCACAATACTTGAAATCAATTTTAAGAATAACATTTGAAAACAGTAAACGAAAAAAGGCATGAGACCATCTGGTTAAAATGTGTTTAAAGTTTCCCTAAAACATCCTTTGTTTTCACAGACTTCTGGTCTTGCAATGAGATCAAAGCTACTTTCAGTTGTATGTAAAAAAAAACACCTTTTTCATGATGGAAAATCCAAATGCCCTTGGAAAAATAGACATATGCAGCACATGTATAGATTAGTGGCAGTATGGACAGGGCAAGAAAAAAAGTCAGCAAACAATTTTACTTCCAGGCCAAAACAGGTCTAAATCCTATTAATCCATCTCTAATCATAAGAAAAGCAAGATTTATGGATGTCAACTTCGTGATATTCACAATAAAGAAGTTGACATCCATAAATCTTGCCTTTCTTATGCATTCCACTTCTAAATGCCCTTTACAAAGATTTCATCTGTCATTTTCAAAACCATGCAGCATAGTTGCGAACCTAAACAATGTTTTCATATTTTGTTCAGTCGCCAGTATCATAAATAGACAGAGAGCTTAGCAACTGTCTATTGAGGTAAACAGAATTTGAACTTGTGGGCTAACCAGGCACGTAGCAAGCCAATTTTTACGTGTAAGTAGCGTCCGAAATTAACGTTGGTCCTGTTAGGTCTGATGCTGACTGAAAACCACTTGGACCAACAGCTTTTGTTGTCTGCATCACAATGTCCTTATGGAGACAGCTTTTTCATCCCTAATAGCTAAGAGTATTATTTCCATATTAAAATATAGGACCTACACATTCTGATCAGGACCACACTTTTATGGTTCTGGGTCCTTAGAGCTTGCAGTTTTCAGAGTTAAGGGAAAGCACTGCTTCCAAGGCAATAAGACAATATTTGTTCAAGAAAGGTTTTTAGCCTTCCTCAACACCAAGCTTCATAAATAAGATCATGGAAACAGAACATGATTGGACTGATACACAGGAATGATGATGATCACCCAGGCAATATGACATACACACCCATGTATATATGACAAATGTCACTTAGTCAAGATTAAAGTGGTTTTGAGTATAAATAGCAGCACTGACCGTCTGCTTGAATATCGGGATGAAAAACCTCTCCGTTCATAGGATCTGCTGCGAGACCTCCTGAGGACAAAACAAATATCTCAAAATACATAAAAAAAACTAATGTGATCACTATATTTACCCCCTCAATTTAATACATAGACTAAAAGTTTCAATATTTGAACTTTATTCAGGGAATGTTCATTTAATACTGGGAGGAGTGAAGGATAGGGGATGGAAGAGTGTCACGGGAAAATGTTACATAAAAGTTGGTGTGAGGAGAGATGGATAAGGGATGGAAGATGCAATATTGCAGCTAGTCACAGACCTGCATGTTGAGCAGTCAGATTTCAAATGTATGAGCGAAGATCCAAGAATTTGACAGAGCACGGTCACGTAGGTGACATCATTTTAGTTGACATTTAAGTGTAGTTTGTTGTACATGATGCTTGACTATACCTTCTCCTTGGACTCCTGCTTCTCGATCTCCTGCAAAGGAAACATGGTCGTCTGAAAATAACCCCCACAAATTACAAAGACTTAACCGTTAAACATGAAAACTCCAAAAACCCATTCTTAGCAAACAGAACAAGTTCACAACCTGATATACACAAGGAATAGCAAGGAAACGAAAAGGTATGTATGGTTGGTGTCCAACTTGGTGAATAAACTATCTTCGCGTCACCTGATGGACCACAAACCTGAACTTTGCTAGAGCTAAAATACCTTTGTTTTTCATCACTATAGTAAAATGAACTATTTGTCTTTTGTGTAAATTTGTTAATTTTTCATTTTTGAAAACTGTCTATCATCGATCTAATTTCAGTGATTACATCGGACTCTTCAACATGCCCTTACTGGCTATGTGATCTGAAATGGTTACAGCTATTTTCAGTGAAATTATCTTACTCCTCCATTACTGACCTTGGACTACGACTTCTGGACCTGTAGCGACTGCCTCGGTCATAGTCATCGTAATAGCTTCGACCATACGGGGAGCGGCGCACTCGTTCCTTGTTCCTCATCTGATTCGGAGCTGAAAATAAGAGAAAATATGCAACAATCAATAAGGTTTCTGAGGAAATGTCTGATGGCAGAGACTAGAGAAGCTACTATATCTTCCACAAGAAAACATGTTTATAATAAGGACAGTCATGGTTTCTGCCCTTCTACTGTTTACAATGGTCCAAAGCTTTCCACGCAACAATATTAATGGATTCGATCAACAAATCTATTTTTGAAAGAATGTGCTATGTATGCTGTTTACAAAGTTAACTGTTTATCTACCTTTAACATAACTGTTCACAATTAAAAAGTAATATTCACCCAATACAATCACAAGCACACACTAAATATCCCAATAACATGTTTCAAAAACTAAACATCATGCAGTTTCCACAGAACATTTAAACCTGCAAATAACTGTTACCCCATATGTTTTCTCAATAAAAAGCCTTTGTTCTCTTTTATGTAATGGGCGGTGAGGTAGTCAAGTGGTTAATACGGTCGCTCATCACGCCGAAGACCCGGGTTCGATTCCCTGCATAGGCACAATGTGTGAAGCCCATTTCTGGTATTCCCTGTCATGATATTGCTGGAATATTGCTAAAAGCAGCATAAAACTAAACTCACTCACTCTTGTAAGTAATACTCACTTTTTCTATCACCTCTAGCAAACTCGATCTCCAGCTCTCTGCCATAGAAGCGTGTTCTGTCCAGATGGTACAATGCATCATCAGCATCTCTGGCATCCTCAAATGTGATCTGGTTAAGGTTGTAACTCAAAGGCATGGCAAAACATACTCTAACAAATCCACTAAATCACACAACTTATTATTACCAAAGAAAGGCCACCTTTCAAATACCCAATATATGACAATTTTGTAAGATAATAAACTGCATTGTACCATTAATTTGTTCTAGTTTGGGTAAATTTGTTAATAAATGGTTAACAATTAATGATTATCGCTGGTTCCAAAATTCAATATATATGATTGATCATTGATAAATAAACAAAGACAATATATCAAGCTCTACTTTGGTATCCGTATGTAAACAATACAACTCTCGGGGAACTGTTACTACAATCTGTAACACAAAACATATCAGTGGAAAGATTGCAATTCCAAAAGACCACTCCACATTGCCTGTTACCCAATTTTGGGGGGTTGTGTTATACTCACTATAATCACAGAATTCATGTTTGATCATCAGTTCAAAAACTAAAACCATTAGTTAATTGGAACACTCCATTAAAGCAACATAACTTCCTTATAAATGCATCTAAAGCTTAATCTATGCAAACATATTCTAATCAGATTAATTTATGTTCAACATATTCTTCCAACATATTTCATAGTAACAGCTGGAAAAACAGTTAATTACAAATAGAAATTGAGTAGTGAAAACCAGAGTGTTTACAAGATGTGTTTACAAGGAAATGAAGCATGCAGATGGGAAACTGTTCTGTTTGATTGGATATTTTAACTTTGCCAACTTGACAAAATAGACTGTAAAACCATCCTGCTAGAATGTACCCACTGTTCCTGTAATTGGAGCCAGCCCTCATCTAGAGAAGGTAAGCACTGTATCTGAAGCCTTGAGTAAGATGACTTGTCTTTAATTATCTTGGTCTGGCTTTGACTTAGTTATAAACTTGAGTCTTAACTTTTCTGGGTTTTCTGCTTGTGAATACTTGTGTAATGCCAAACTTCACTTGATTGCGCCAAAATGTCGACTTCAGAGATTCAGCTGAAAGTTGACCTGGAAATGCCAAATTTGTCGAATTGCTTGACTTGTGGGTCAAACCTGTCAACTTGCTTTTGTGCTCATCGATGACTTGATCATGCCAAATGTTATCTGTACATCGGCCCTGACTGATCAGTTCATCAGTAATCTGTATGACAGCATAGACTGATCTGTGGTGTATCTTTATCTAATGGTCTCTTGTTTCTAGCCAGCGTGCACAAAAGGGGCTTGTGCATAGAACTGTACTTGATCTTTACTTTTCCACGTACTCTAACTTGACTTTGATTTCTGATGAAAAAGTGAAAAATGATTATCATTGGCAAATACAACACATTGTTTATACGAATACTGTCAGGATGATCACTGCATGACCCTGGTGTAGGCTGAAAGAAATTAATCAAGATGCATCTTGATATTAGTTTCAGGGTAACTAGTGAACCTGGTGTAAATAGTCTAACTGAACTGTATAAACTAAGAAAGTTGCAGTTTTACATTATTTCCTGTTTTCCTCCTGAGGCTTTTCGAGTATAATCTGATTCAGAATGTTTCTTTAAGCATCTTTTCATCGAAATGATCATTGTCCAGCCAAGGGTTCTGAAGCAGAGGTGCTGCATCTAGAATCTGACCAAATCATACAAGCAAGACAAAAGAAAAATCAACAGTGCCAAACTTATTATTGTAAATTGAGCATATTCTAGATTCAAGACATGAAAAACTGAGCTATGTAAATTTGTACTAATATCCTAATCAATGAAGCAATATATCATCTGTGTGTTTTTTCTCAAGACATAACACCAATTCAGCAATATCACAGCCTATAAACATGAGAAACATGAGAAAGATGTATCCAGTCTGTCCCAAAAACCTGAGTCCACCTGCCCGAAACTCTTATCAGTGGAGCTTTGTGTTTCATTTAACCAATAGACATTCAAATAGACAGAGGGCTACGGACTAGTGGTTAATGTCACAGACTGCATCATTAACATTTAGTTCTTCCTGTAAGGATATTGTATGTACGCAAATCCTCGGGCTCTTCTTGTGTGATAATCCACAGGGACATAAACATCACTTATGGGTCCATATTTGCCAAACAAACTTCGCAACTCATCTGGTCTAAAATAACAAATGTTGAAAAGATAATAAGCATGTAAAAAGAGAACATTACTCCCCACCAACAAGTTATCACGGTTATCCCCATCTTTTCAGGACTATTTCTGGAGGAAACTCAAGTCTACTCCACCACACAGACTATTTCCCGGAGGAAACTCAAGTCTACTCCACCACATACAGTCATTCCTAACGACAACAATGAATCTTTGGTCAATAGATGGCCTCCCACAGTATAAGACACTTTTGTTATACAGTCTTTCATTAGCGCAACATTAACAGCCATCTGGTTATTAATCAGGAACACAAAGAACGTGGAAAGATTTCCACCCGTAACCCCCATATTTTTTAAATGATTATATGCCTAAGAAAATACGCCTATGTTTATTATATTCACCTTCTAAAAAAGCTACTATAAGAATTGTTTTCTTAATCGTTAAAATTTAGAGGGGATATGGGCGAAAGTCCTACCAAACCTAACTCTAAACCTAACCCAAACTTAAATTTTGGACTTTTAGTCACTTTGAGTTCTCTAGTAATTGTTGTGACAAGTTTTGTTAATAATTTTAGCATATTTATAAATATTATTTGGGATGGGGGAACGGGAGGAACTCTTACCAATAATCCTAATGAATAGAATACATTTCAAGCGGGGTTACAGACGAACTCCTAGAGGTAAATATTCCTCTACACTATATATCAGGAACTAGCATTTATGGATCCTAAGGAAAATGGTTAAAATAATAAGATCAAAAGTCACATCACTAAATATTGAGGTAAGTGATCAGATAGTGTCCGAAATAATAGCATTTGAAGTTGCGTCTGACGTGTCTATGACGTTGGCCAGGTTTGTTCAAAAACATACCATGCTGCTCTACTTGCCCTTGCATGTTTTTTACTTTCGTCTCTTTTATATAGTGGTAAGACCCCGTCAGGGTAAATGCATAATTTGATGCCAGTTTTGAGCATTATAAGCCTTTAAGTATAATTGAGTCAGTTTCTGTTTCGTCCAATCATAAAATCCAATTCAAGTCAAGGGAGTTTAGGACAGAGTTTACATATTTCCTCTTTTGCTTCCAGTTTAAATGCTTGTGCTTAATGTGAAAGTCAATACGATATTTGCGTGGGTGTTTGCAGACATACGTTAAATGATCGGTAGAACCCTGCATCGCTTCAATTTCGCAGTCGAAATGGCCGAATAGTTCGCATTTTCGTTGTGCTGGGCCTAGCAGGTTTTGTAAAGCTTAAATTCTGCTTCCTAAATGTAATACATCCTTTTTAACCTAACAACATACTAACCTCGTAGTATCAGGGACATTTCTGATGTACAGAGAAGTATTTGGTGGCCTTGTGTATCTCGACATTTTCTCTGGTCTATTTCTCTTCCTTCGTCCAGCTTTCGTCTCAAGTGGGAAGTGGGCTCAGCGCATGCTCTAGACGGGAATTACCGAACCTAGCCTTTGTGTCCTTCGTGAAAATCCGTAATGAAATTTGCGCCGAGAAACCACGAATACTGCGTTTCTGCGAATGTTTCAAAAGTTGTTTTCGAACATGTGTGTGTATGGAGAATGAATGGACGAGTTGGGTTTTACGCAGCATTTAGCAATATTCCAGCAATATCACACCAGAAATGGGGTGTGTATAGAGAAACGATCAGGATAATATAGCATTAATAGTTTAGGATACTAAAAATCGATGTCTAACTAGATCGCAGTCGAGACCCTTTACAAATTTCGGCAACTTTAGGATTGGGAAACAATTTGCGGGATCAGATTTCAGTATTTTCCGGAACCTATAGCAGCTAGATTTGACAGAAATATTTACGAATTTGTACCTTGTTTCAGCTTTTCGATGCGTGGAGACATGACACATAGAAATTAGGTTCTAGGTGTTTACCTTTGATAGGGGACATGCAAGCGAGCGGACCGATGGTTTGTCGCGAGGCAAACAGAAACAATACCTGTAGGCAATTGTTAGCGTGCTTATATGTAGTTTGGCAAAACAGATTCAGTTTGAATTATATTGTTGCCCGAATGACCTTCTGACGTCACCTTATTGTGCACATTTATTTTATATTATATTATTTTATTTTAATATTAAAACAATATTTTATGAGAGATGAAAACGGGTTGTAGTCAAATGGGCCGAAGGACGAAAGGGCCGAAAAAAGTCAAATGGGCCGGAATCAAAAGTCAAATGGGCCGAAATCAAAAGTGAAAAAGGGCCGAAAAATATTTTTTTTATTCAATTACATAATAAAATAGTGTAAATAGAGTTTAGTTTGTTGTTGTTGCTTTTAATGGAATTTGAACATGTCACTCAAATGTTTTCGTTGTTAAGTGTCTTGACTTAGTGTCATGACTAATCTGTATAGTGTGCATTGTTCCAAGACTGTAAGAAGGAACCAGCACGCCTTAGAGTGTGATCAATGTCAGTCATGGACACACAGGGTTTGTGGCACAGGGATGATTCGTGAAGACTTCTTTGACGTATGTAAGGCAACTGTTGCCGAGACCAAGTCCACAGGAGACAGAGTGCCAGGCAAACTCATCTCAATCCAAGTAAGAGCTCAGGTGAGTAGTACTTCCTATTGACTGATTCCTAAGTAGTAGTTATTTGGACCATAACTGTTAACGAAGTTCCTTAATTGTTAATTGGAGATGTTAACGAATCGAACTGATTCTTAATTAGATCAATTAACCTTGTTGTTATAGGTGAAGAATGCTGCAACACAAGACCTGTTCAAGTCTGCCAGGTCCATAGCTGAGGATGTTATTGATATTGTTATGATATTATGTATTTATGCTATACTGGTCAATAAAAAATGAAAAACATTTGTAAACCTTTTTTAGTTCGGCCCATATGACTAAGAATAAGGCCCTTTTGACATTTTTTCCCATTTGACTTTCACCATGGCCCATTTGACTTTTTCCATCGGCCCATTTGACTTGGCACTTCTCGGCCCTTTTGTCCTTTCGGCCCATTTGACTGGATCTCGATGATATCAAGATTTTTGGGCGAGAGGATTTATGAATGACAATATATACACATAAGCATTATTTGAGCACCACCTGAATCCAAGTGCAATTTTATTTTATTTTTTTACAAAATAGTTATCATAACCTAATACAATGGAATCCACATGTTAAGCACGTGCTCCACACAGTATCTCAGAGGCTATGGGTCAACGTCTGTTCACATGTCCAGTTAAGCACATTTGGGTATTATTTTCATTATGGAAGTATGTGTATTACTGTTTTTTGAACTGAAGACCACAGTACTAAAAGTTAACTTTTCTTGATACAGCACGGCGTTGACTTTCACAAAATACACAATAGCAATGTTTTGGTGTGCATGATGCAGGGATGTCCTGTCGGTGCTGACGGTTATGACTTGATTTGTGAGGAAGCACGTAGTCACCGGTGAAGTGAAAGATTGTGCAAGACCTTGAAGTCGGAGGAAGACCAACGACAGTGATGACCGAGTTCTAATTCGTCTGACAAGACGCCATCTAATGACTCATGCAGAAGAACTGCGCCAGTTCTCCACCAGAACCATCAAAAGGAATCTGCGGGCTTCTTGTCCGATCAGACCCCCTTCCTCTTAGATATGCTGACAGGAACGCCAGACGTGGTGCAGACCCCGAGAACACATGGGGTAGGGTAGGGTTCACATGTCTAACGAAAGCCGCCATCTTCTACACGTTACCGACGGCTGTCGCATATCGCCAAGAACCCTTTCGTTGTGGAGCAGTGATGGTGTGGGGTTGCGTTTCGTAGGACTGCAAGCCAGATCTCATCACAGTACCCGACAAACTAAAAGGTGAACGTTATCAACAGGAAATACTGGATACCGCCGTCGTATCACATTTTTATAACCATCCCCTTGCCAGTGGTGGGATATTCATGGATGACAACAGTAGGAGTCACCGTTCTCGAGAGCCATCACATCCCATTTGCAAAACAACCCTAGCGAAACATGACCCTCAAGGATATGGGAAAACAATCACCTTGTTGCTTAACTAATGCAGATTTATTATTTCGAAGGTCAAGGTGAAGGTCATCTGTTCTCAACATCTTGTATGGCCCCCACGAGAATCCACAACTGCAGTCCGTTTGAGTCAGAAACGGACCGATGAATTGCAAATTTTATCATTGTACAAAATTGCCACATAAATATAAATAGTACACATGTTTATCATTTACTAATACCCAACAGCTTTCTTATATTTGAAATTTTCCGGACTCCACCAAAAAAGTTCTTTAAGAAACTATCATCATTGAAAACGCAAAAGTTGTTATCTGTCGCGGCGGGGTGAAACCGTAGAAACGGAACAGCCACTATCTCGTCGTGCACGGGATACACATCGTAGCCCCTCCGGAACCAATCAGATTACGACTTGTGACCAGGGAAGTGTTCACACACTTTTCCTGCAGTGCTTGTGCCAACCGTTAGGGGTTCTGTGGTTGTTGCGGACGTAATCGCAGACGTTGACAAAGAGCATCCCATAAATGTTCCATGGGGATTATATTTGGAGACCTTTATGGTCATGGCAGTACTTGGATGTTATGGTTCCTCAGTGAGGCCATTGTCAGTCTTGCCGTGTGAGGTCGGGCGTTGTGTTGAAAAATGACATTGCTTATTGCACAATGGGAAGGACGTATGACGGACGAATGTCATATCAAGTCATGAGCTACTTAGGTCGTCTACCACAATTTCTGCATCTTATATCTCTAATGTCCCCATCATCAAAATCCTCAAACCGTAATCCCTCTTTGAAGTGAACCCAGAGGCTTGCAATTTGTTATTCTGGATCTAGTTTTCGGTTCGCTGTAGATTTCAAATTTCAAGAATTCATGATCCATTGAAGTGAAAAGTAAAATCAAACCCATCACATTGTGTCGAAACTTCCCACTTAGTTTGATTACTGCCAATAGTTAGTAGTTGTACCTATGGCAAGGCGTGTAATAACGTCTGATCAAAGAACCTGGCATAAGTGGTGTGTTACATCACGCTACATATACTCAACCAAACAAGTTTAGCACGCTGCACTAAATCGTCCTTACAGATATAATCAATGTTCTCATTAGTCTGAACCTGATACCTGTAAACTTGTGACACCTGTGGAATTGCTGTGAGACGAGAGAATTGAAAGTCACGTGCATTTGTCTGTGATTTTCGTGGAATTCACGTGAAACACATTTTTCATGTCTCAAAAACAATGAAAATCATGCCTTGGCCGATGCATTATTGCATACCCACTGAGACATTCTCCTGGAAGGGTAAAACATTTGTAAAGTTTTAAAATCAACCATGGGACGCAGAAGAGGCATGCCTGAAAATCAGAGACATGAAGCGATTGGGAGACTGAATGCTGGTCAAACAATTACAGACGTAGCGCGTCATTTCAACGTGCACAGGAGCACAATTTCACGTCTCCAGACACGTGTACAGCAGACAGGTCATGTCAGAGATCGGCCACGCTCCGGCAGACCCCGTAAGACCAATTTTTGGTGACGTCATCACAGGTTTACAAGTGCTCCAAAGTTGGCTAGACAGTTGCAACAGGCCACCGGCACGACTGTTCATCCCCGAACGGTAAGGAACCGTTTGCACACAGCCCGACTGTTTGCCCGACGTCCAGTGGTTGGAGTTCCATTAAGTCAACGTCACAGACAGGAACGTTTGCAATGGGCACGTGCTCATCAGCGCTGGCGTTGTCAACAATGGAACCAGACATTATTCACTGATGAATCTTTCTGTGTGGAATTTGCAGATGGACGACGCAGAGTATGGCGTCGAGTGGGTGAACGTTATGACGCCAATAACGTCATCGAACGTGACCGCTATTGAGGAGACAGCATCATGGTTTGGGCTGGGATCCATGCAGGAGGAAAGACAGACTTGATTGTTGTCCCAGGAAACCTGAATGCACAACGTTACTGCGACGAGATCATCAGACCAACTGTCATCCCATTCATACAACGAAATCCCGGCTTTACGTTTCAACATGACAACGCTAGACCACACACAGCCATTCGAACAAGAGATCTTCTTCGGCAACACAACATTCAACCTGTACATTGGACAGCAAGATCCCCAGACCTCTCTCCCATTGAGCATGTGTGGGACATTCTCGGCAGGAGGGTCAGAGGACATCACCCCCTTATTGATAACCGTCGTGACCTTGAAAATGCCCTCATTCGGGAATGGGGTAACATTAACGTTGGTGAGTTGAGAGCAGTTATTAAGAGCATGAGGCGGAGATGTACAGCTGTAATTAAGGCCAATGGAGGCCACACACGATATCGACGTTTTTGGAGCAATACCCCTCTCTTGATTTTGGGGTCATAGTGGCGTTATGGAGAACAATGAACACACGTCTGAGTGATTTTAAAATGGAAAGATGAAATGTAAAATCAACATGATTTGGATATACAATATATTTTTGGTACCACATGATTTTTGTCATTTTTTATACCAACGTGCTAAACGTTTTTGGTTGAGTATATAAGGCCACCGTGTTAACTGAGGAAGACATCTGCCAAATGCATGTCTCACCATCAACGTTTGACTTGGCTACAGAACCTGAAGGCATGCCTTTCCTCTTTTGTACTAGATTCGAAGGCTCAACAAACATGATGGACGGTGCATGAAATACTCAGTCATCAAATGAGTTGATAATGTATATTTTGGTGTGGTTATTGCTGATACCATACAATGTTCAACATCCACAAGCAGATGATGTTTACTGAGCTCACTAAGAGGCCAGGAGAGTCCACGTTGCCCAGTACCGGTCACTACAGTATCAGTCCCTGGGAGAATTATGACAGTGCACACACGCACACTTCTCATCAGTCCCTGGGAGAATTGTGACAGTGCACATGTTTAAGAATTGGTAGCAAATATACCCTGGTCAGATCTCAATCCCATAGAGCATGTTTGGGATATTATGGGTTGCAAAATACGCCGAGAGATCCTCCAGTACAAATACTTGATGTCTTGGAACAAGCCCTCCACCAAGAATGGAACACAATACCTCAACGTGAAACCCAACGCTTCAGTGTGTAGAAGGGTCAGTGATGTTTCTGCCGTTGGTGGAGGTTGCAGGATACTGACCTTGTCTTGGGTTATTGATACTTATGTGATTTCTTGAGAATTTATGCCAGAATCTTTATATTATATATTTTATTATATGATATTTTTATAGCGCACATATCCAGGCAACTAGTGCTTGCTCAAATCTTGAATCTTGAAAATGTCGGCACTTGTTAACGTCATACGACCACAGTTATCTTCACTAATGTTTTTGCAATGCTTGCTTCTCTGAATAAACTACAAGTGCTATGGGTGACGTTACATGTTTGAAAATATAATGTAAACTTTTATATACTGATGAGCAGTTGGTGTAGATAGACTTAGCTTGAGCTGAAGGGCAACGAACGAATTGTTATATAACTGGATGTTCAGCTTGGGACTTGATGGATTCATGCGAGTTGCTTTTGCAAGTCAATTGGAAGTGGACAGCTTATAGACAAAGCCTTATAAACTCGACTGATTCTCAATAAACTCGGTTTTAGTCAAGTCTGGTGGGGAAATAGTCTGTAGACTTGACTGTTGCCAGTATTATATCCATGATATGGATGTTCTCAAATATACACATTTTGTAACAAACAATTATTAGGATAATATTAATAAATTTTCCTGTAGACCAATCCACATAATTGTTCCAGTGGATTTGTGATATACCCTTTTACTATATCTTTACTCGTAGCAACAGTACTGCGTTCTTTTTGCGTTTATATTTGCTATCAAATTATTCCTTGAGGGTCAGTTCATCCAGATGATAGGTTCCTTGTTATGGTTAATGGTAGCATACCGATACTATGAAAAATAAGGGGTGTTGCGATACTTTTTTCCAGGTACGCATGTGTTTGTGTGTACACATATATTCAAGAGAGGTGAAAGAAGTGATTGTGAGACTTACGTGTGATGTAAATAACATCCAGTTTTCATGTGCAGTACTTTGCAAGTTTACAAAATGCATTTAAACCAAATAAATAACAAATACATGTTATGATTAAACGTATTACAGCTGCCTTTCACACTCTATACCAGTAAGGTGGTGGGGTGGCCCAGTTGTTAACATGTTTGCAAGTCACACAAAACACTTCGGTACAATGTGTGAAGCCCATGTCAGGTGTCCCCACCATGACATTGCTGCAATATTGCTAAAAGCCACACAAAACCTGACTCACTCACTCACATGGCCAGTATAGTAGGCGTCTCTCATGAGAGTTGAGAACATTCTTCTCTATGACCTGGGCTTGAAAAGGGCTTCCAAGGTCCTCCTGGTCATAATTGTTCCAGTTTCATCAAAGCTGGTAAGATGTCTATCATTCTGAGGCAGATCCAGCTGATTTTACCAAGTGATTTGTAACCTTGAACGAGTCTTGGGTTTCCACTATCAGCCACAGTCAAGACAACAACCAAAGCATTTGAAACCGGTTAATTTGGTAAAAGGCATATGATCATTGTGTCAAAATGATATCTTCAAATTTCTTTGACTCCAAAGGAATGCAGCTGGTGGACTATCTCTAAAAGGTACAACTATTAATATCCTATGTTGTGCTGATTTGCCTTTGCAACTGCATCAAACCTCCTGAAACCTCCTGAAAACTCCATAAAAGTGTGTTGCTCCAAATGAACAATGCATCTGTGAACTAAAGTTCACATCAATCTGTTCCTGTCAATCTCTGGTTTGTTCAGTGTCCTTGAAACAGGACAGTTTTATGTTGACAACATCAAAACAGGTTGAAATACTTCTCTTTCTCCAAAGCTGCCTTGAACAGTTTTTTTGGTTTGGATACAAAAGAGGAAGGAATTCAACATAATGGACAAAATATCAAATTCAAAGTGAATATAAATGAATATGATAAGTGACTTAACATAAAGTTATTTATTCCTTCAAAAAGATTAATGGTGGGACAACTGGATAAACACCAGAGTTACTTCCCTTTGAAAAGACTTCAACAAAAAATTTGTACCAGCACTTTCGTATCTGGTTCAAACAAGGTTCCTAGTAGTTTGCCCTTAGTTCTGATGCTTCAAAACAAAATAAATACTCATTGACAGCTACCAAATGACCTGCTTTGTCAGCTGGTCCCATACAGATATACTTGTAGATGTTAAATCCCGGTCCTATGGAAGTTCTGTCACAAGTTTCAGTATCCTTGAAGGTAGAGATTCATGTTTGACACAATTTGAAACAGCTTAATTATTCCTGTGGATATAACTGGAAGCTCCAAAATGCATCAGGGTTAATAAATATTCAAATGAAATGTCAGCCATTGCTGCAACCTCATATATTTTTGGCTGGAAACCTTTGAACATCTTCTGTTCTCACCTGAATTGTTGCCATCAAAAACGAACACTTCTTGAACTGTTTGCAGAGTGAGTGGTCGTCAGTGGCTGGTTGAAAACAATCAGCAAACAATGCAATCGACACAGTCCAGCACTGTGTAACTCAGGGTTTTAACCATCCAGCCTATGTGTTTCATTGTACTCAGACTGCTGAATATTCCATCAGCTTATTTTTACAGCAACACATATTCATAAACAAGGTATCACCACAACCGAATCTAAGAAGTTCTACTTTTTTTAATTTTAAAGGAATAAAAAACAAATTCTTAATCTACATGCTATGTTATAATCAGACACCTATCCTACCCCAGAATGTTTTCAGAAGATGACATGTAAACATTTTCCATGAATGAATAATATATTATTTAATTTCGAAAACCAGTCACATTCAGAGATTGAATCTTTACAATTTTAAAAACTAATGATTTTTTTTAATTCAAATTAGATTTTTAAATTTCCATTTAGGTTCTTATGTATATCTTATCTATCAGAAGTCCAACTATTTCATAGTAACAGAGATATTACATTCAGTCATCATATTATTTTGAGAAGTTGAATACCAGTACCATTAAGTTTACTTTTATGTCAGAAACACAGTGAGTGATCAAAGTCCAGTTTGAATTTGACACCAGAAAAGTTCTACAAAAACTAGAATTTTTAAAACTTTGGAAAATTTCAAATACTGTTAACACAAACTAGCAGACATTTCACAATCATCCCCTCTGATTTGATAATTCCCCTTGTTTCCTGCTAATCACAGTTGCCTCAGAGAAGTTGAAGTTGAATGGATGATGAATGGTCCCACCATGTTGGGTGAGGTGATAATTATACCGCTAGGCCACTAAATGTAACATATCTAAGTTGCAATTTGGCCAAAACAATGAAGCTTTCAAATCCTCTAAACTTCCAAAGCTCCCGATCTCCCACGTTCCACAAGGACATGGAAGACTGACAGACAACACAACAAGGGATTTCATTGAAAACATATAGTTTTATTCAATGTTTTGATGAAAATTACCCACAACAATTTTGTTGACTAAGAATACTAGGACATTTACAACTGACCACAATGATTACACATCAAATGTAGAATGTACAATGCTTTGTCCCCAAGCCCATGAGTATATATAATGATTTAATGACAAACTCAGGGCAGGCACTAAATAATATCAGGTACTACACAAAATGGTGCCAATAGTGGCTGCTGACTTTCAGGAATACATAGCAACAACCTTAGTGGAAGCATGAGGTTACACACAGTTGAGTTCAGAGAGGACAGTTACGAGGATCTATTTGTATTTACAAATCTGAAAGTAATAATGGAATAAATATACAGCTCAGAAAGAATATAAAAGTCTGCTATAATTCCAGGAGATTCCGAGTCAGATCCAGTAAAGGGGTAACGAAACAAGTTGGCAGTTTAGGGTGGAGTGATGTTCAGAGAAAGAAAGAGCACAAGGCAGTCATGCATGAGCCATGCTGTTCTGCAACATTACCCAGATGTGTCCAGGATTCATCATCCTTAGAAAACATCCTTCGAATTTCAAAACAAGGACAAAAAAAGCTGACATTGTGCCTCCAAAAATGGTTGACAGTTAATTTTTTTTAAAAACCTTCCATTGTGACCTTCATCATGACAGAACATGAAAGGTCGCTAATCCTCAGCTTTCTTGAGCCTTTCATGCCGTAACGTCCTAGTCCATGTTAGTTCGCTAGATGATATGTTATATATAATGTGTCATGAAAGGGTCACGGTTGATACATGCAGTATAACATCATGCAGACGAAACTGTACGGAAGTATGATAATGACAACACATTTGCTCGATGAAAGATATATTTGTTCCTGTCAATCTCTGGTTTGTTCAGTGTCCTTGAAACAGGACAGTTTTATGTTGACAACATCAAAACAGGTTGAAATACTTCTCTTTCTCCAAAGCTGCCTTGAACAGTTTTTTTTTGTTTGGATAAAAAAGAGGAAGGAATTCAACATAATAGACAAAATATCAAATTCAAAGTGAATATAAATGAATATGATAAGTGACTTAACATAAAGTTATTTATTCCTTCAAAAAGATTAATGGTGGGACAACTGGATAAACACCAGAGTTACTTCCCTTTGAAAAGACTTCAACAAAAAATTTGTACCAGCACTTTCGTATCTGGTTCAAACAAGGTTCCTAGTAGTTTGCCCTTAGTTCTGATGCTTCAAAACAAAATAAATACTCATTGACAGCTACCAAATGACCTGCTTTGTCAGCTGGTCCCATACAGATATACTTGTAGATGTTAAATCCCGGTCCTATGGAAGTTCTGTCACAAGTTTCAGTATCCTTGAAGGTAGAGATTCATGTTTGACACAATTTGAAACAGCTTAATTATTCCTGTGGATATAACTGGAAGCTCCGAAATGCATCAGGGTAAATAAATATTCAAATGAAATGTTATAAATACTAAACTACACCGACAATTGTATGATATACCACAAGTTCATAATAACAATATATAACCCTGAATGTGGATCAGATGAAAGGTCATTCTAGCAATATTATTGAACCTGTAACAGCATGAGAAAACATCTCACTTTTAGAAAATTTACCACACCAGGTCAATTATCAATGAAACAAAAGGCAGATCTTTCCGAAGTATTTTTCAATGTTGAAACAACATAACAATATTACATACAAAGAGGCAATTTTAATCCCATTTTTACAATATAACTCCCAAATCTCTACTGCTATCAATCTCATCCACTGTCACTTACAAATATAATTTACTTAATTTTTATTCCGGTATAAAATCTGACAATATTGTCATCAAGGATTCCATCAATACCCCCAAAGTAACATTCTTTCATCTGTTACAGAATAGTCACATTTCTGTTAATATCAGATGTGATATCATCCGATATCATCCATATCTGTATAGCTTAGTGTTATTCTTATATTGTCCAATTGCTTCCCTTCACTGTCGAGATCCTGTCACTAGCTTTGCACAATTCTCTTGGTAAATCCAAAACCTATCTTGTTTTTCATTCTGTTTTGATCTCTGTCTCGGACACTGGCGTGGTTGCCGTGGGCTGTGGCGTCTTCTTGTCTTGCCCCCACGAACCCGACTGCAGTGCCGGTGAGTTCTGGAACTTGTCCTGTTCCTCCTCCCCGGCGTTGGGCTCATACTGTGTGTTCTCCAGACGGGTGATGAGCCGCTCATCTTCATCCCCAAACTCACCACCCATCAGTGTCGGCTCACCCACTACCATCACATCCTGCACAGAAACATGGTTAACATGGGCGGAAACTCTCCGTACCTTGCTGACAAGTAATCAAACACTGGGGAGAACATACATCATCACTACACTTGTTCTTAATGAATGTTGGGAGAATTTCTCCATGAAACTACCTGGAAACAGTACCAGTAACACACCATGTTTCGTGACTACTACAATCGACCTTGCTCTTCAATTTGACTGTCTTTTCAATTCATACTCTATCCCATTTCTTTCTTGTTTTCATTAAAGTTAGAGTTTAGAACATCATTCAAAGGTGAACAATACCACACTTACTTTCATACTATCTTGATATATACTATTTTCAAATTAAATATAGAATTATTTTCTATGAACTTGAGAGGCTGTGCTCAACTGGGTAGAAAACAACTATTGCTTTCACTGTGCTAGCTGCTGCTGGTGACCTACGTGATCACAAGGCAATACAAACTAGTTGTCATATCTGTAAGCTGGTAAACGTTCTTGATCTAAAATCTGGAAAAGACTGAATAGTAAAATATACAAAGCCACTGACATATGGACTTGACCAACCCAACAGAAACCTTCTCTTCCACATCTCATGAATTTCACTCCCATGTCTTGTGTACCAGACATGCCCAGAACTCATCCAAAACAATTAACGGAGTTGGACATACCTAGAAGCAGCCAAGTCAAGTGACTAAAATTTAAACCCTACAGTGAAACCCATGCGCTTTGAGCATGCACCTTGTGGATGGATACAGCGCTTTATAAATACTCATCATTATTATTCCGGCTTTAACTAATAATCATTTAACTTTGAACATGTTGACGAAGGACCAAAGTTATATGTGCACACCCTTAGAGGATAGTATTTCATTGCTTGAATACACAGAGATATGATCCTACCTGCATCAAATGTGCAGATCTAGATGGACACATGGCTGGACTGCCAGTGGACACAGTGAAAGTCTGTATTGCTCAGTGACCAGCTAAGCTATATATATGTTAGTCATGGTAAGCTCTGGTATTAAGGAAGGGAATGAAGAAGCTACAGTTACTATTAGTTCTTAGTAATAAAACCTACATCTAAAAACAGATGATAGAAATGTTACGTCAAACTTTATATACAGACAGAAACAAACTAAACGGAATGGTAGGACCAGCTTTACAAGACTGATTAAACTATCACAGATGGACAGACAAACAAAACAGACAGTCAGACAGAATCAACAATACAAAATCCATCCTCACCACTTACCCCTGGTACTGACGACCCGATGTTGAAGGCCTGGGGGGGTGAGCGCTTTTTGTTGGGCCCTCCCTCACGGCTGTTGATGCCCGTGTTGTTCCCCGCAGATGCCTTTCTCTTCCGTCGTTTGTTTGGGGCCGGGTTGCTTCTGAAAGTACATGACTTGTAGCTAGAAAGAAAAATTGAACCTGTTCTCTCCACAATATTCATACATCTCGATCTGGAAAAGTGTCATAATTGTATCAAATTATCAATACAGCATACATAAGTCAAGAAGCACATGAATAACCAAAAACACTTCCCTTTCAGTCAGTTTCAACACATGACGTCTTCAAAGACAATATATGATAGTGATGTTGATGTTCTATATATTATACACGTTATATCATTCTAACATATGCTCTAATATTTTAACTCATTAATACTTGAAAAAAACAAACAAAAAATGATTGTCCTCAGTGTAGTGAAATATTATCAGCTGTTTTGTCTGCATTTGAAATTATTCCTGAAAAGACAACTTGATCCTATTCTGGTTAACAATAATGTGTGAGGTTAAAAGGCTGTTAAAATAAATTCACTTTTTAAAAACAAACTCTACAAATTTTCGGATCACTTCCATTTCATGATGGATCCAGTATGTGTAAGTGAAGTCAAAATTCAAAAGAATTCTTCACTAATAATTTAAATATACCATCTGATTGGGGGCTATTTTTCTTCAAAGTTTACTTTTAAATTGATTGAATTCAGAAGAAATATGTTTTTCAACAAAATATAAATAATACAAATTTTCTGAAATAATGACATAATTTAGTACCAAATGTGAGTTTTAAAACTCAACACTGCCTTCCAGCTTTGTGCAATGATGTACAATGTATATCTGATTACAGTTAACTCCATGCTATTCTATATTAGACTATTGGAGACACTACTCTGGTGAAGACATGCTTTTATGACAAAGTAAATTCACTAGAGCTACAGTTTATCTTCCCATTGTTAAACTTAATATTAGAGCAGAACTTTATTCTAAATTAGAGATTTAGATATATCTGAGCTTACTCCTGAAAGAGCAGATTCTCAAATGTTTATTTCTGTGTCATTAGATATTAGAAATAATTAATTCAAGCCTGTTAGAAATAACTGAAGTTATGTTCTCTGTGAACAACTTAATAACATTATACTAAGATTGATTAATGTCTGTTATAGTCAAGTGTTGTTTGGGCTGTTTTCTCGTGTTTATTACAACAAGTATGACTGAAAGTATTACAAACTGCAGTACACTGACCGCTGGTCAACACACGGCCATCCTGGCCGACAATGTCCAGCACATCCAGTCAAACACAGGCATTAAATTCTACAATGCAAAAGTTCCACATCCACAAGCAGACTACAGGGCAGAGTCAAGTATGGGATAAAGCCATCTTTGTAACTTTACATTATTTGGACAAAATAGGACTAAATGTGCATTCAGATGTTCGCATTTATAAAACAAGATGAAAAAATACATCAATTACCCATTAAAGGACACAGATTGTCAGTCTTTTCCCATAGAATCAAAATGTGTAACCTTAGATGGATAAAGTGTCAAAAGAGTTGAAATTTCTTTTTAAAAGTAAAAATGAACAAATTGAGGGAAAAAAACCCCAGAAAAATGTGTCCAAAGAGCAAGTGAAGTGGCTTTGCGCGTATTTGACTGCTACCCCTGGTATGTGAGTAGTAACAGACAGGTCCCAACAACCGGCAGCAAGATACAGGGGAGGACTGCAGCTACAGGGGATGGAGAGAGTCAAACCACGGCAGGAAGAGAGAGATGAACTACCAGCACCATAGAGAAACAGACTCCCATTGGGGGCCGATTTCTCTGTAGAGGAGCATCGTCACGGAGAAAAGGCTTGTATAAAGACTCTCATCAAAACAGCATTTTCTTGTCAAAAATTAACTGAAGGACCATTATTATATAATAGCTAGGCAACTTTTTGTATTACAGAACCTCAATAGAATATTTTAATTAATAAATCAAAATGAAATGAGAAGAAGAAAGAATGATCCTCAGCTAAAGGAAAGGATTTCAAACTCTGACCAGCAAGGTCCTTCCATGATGTCAGAACCTGGTAACAAGTAACTTCAGACCTGCAAATATGTTTCCACCCCTTGATTTCCCTGCCGATGGTTTGACATGATGGGGCATACAGGCGTTTGAACATTAATTCTTGTCTGTGAAGGGCCTTGAGGATTAGTTGGTGAGTAGCAAGGAATAAGAGTGTATTTACTTTCCCAATACTGGGGCATAAATTGCCCACTTCCCGTATGTTTGGCCATATTTTGATCGGACGGCGAGGTTCGCCGGCTCGGGTGTTCTGCTGGCAGGGGGACTGAGAAGAAAACCAAAAGGATAGGGTGTACGTACATGAAAGATGAAAACTAGGGCCAGGTTCTGAATCTCCACTGCAACTGTAGGTACTACTAGCACTACCACACTCTTGGCAGTAAAATACATCACCATTAGAGTTTCTAGAAATATCACATCATAACATTAAAAGGGCTGTTTTTTCAAAGTACCAAAATGGTTCAAAACAGGTAACCTTTAATGATGAAGCCAGTAGAATTGTACGAGTGGTAAAGTTAAGAATATAAATATTTTTGTTAAAGAACTTTACGCTAGGTAAACTGTTTTACTTTAATTCCTGTTCAGACGTGAAAGACATCTTTTCTGTTAGAATTAGGGTCAAATGATTTTGTAAACATTTGATAATCTAATCAAATTGTGGAAAAATCATATATTTTCAAATGGGTCAGAATATCTTTCATAGTTTGAGGTTACTAAAACTGAGACTCATGATTTTCAAACTCAGCCAAGAGAAAATATAATTGTGTTATTGCCATGGCAACAACAATCTCTGAATAGTAACTTAGTACCACACTTTTCACACCTGCACTGCAGTGGAGCTAGCAACAAAATTAAAAGGCAGAGAATTGTTCACAAACAAAAACCAATTTCTACAAAGATGACATGGAAAAAAAACAGCAGTTGAACATATAGAAAGCAGAATAAGTGATGTGAAAAATGATAAAAGACATTGATTTCATTAGCAATACAACTTGACTGACAGATGTCACTCACACGGACCACTCCTTCACCATGGTAACAGTGTGTCAATCACTTGTTCATTACACCAACTGAGATTAAGGACATCCAGCTCTGGGTACACGAGCGTCATGCGCAACTTTGGTTTGGTTAGAATAAATATAGTCAATACATCGACTTGGACATGATGGAGAAATAATACATGAACTGTGCATGTGATCAAAGTCATTCACTACAGTGTGAAGTAATTGTGAAACATGCTAATGACAGTCACACAGCATTGAAATAGTAATAAATGTTTACCTCCATACAAAACTGATTAATCTCAATTATTCTGACATTGCAAGACGAAAACTAAAGAAAAGATATTTACATAGTCTTGTGGTGGATATCAAATAAAAACACACATGAGAAGAAAGTTTGAAACATTCCACACCACACACACAAGATGGTATGAAATATTCCACCCTCACACACAATATGGTAAGAAATATTCCACCCTTGCACACAATATGGTATGAAATATTCCACCCTTGCACACAATATGGCATGAAATACTTCATACCCCACACACAATATGGTATGAAATACTTTATACCCCACACACAAGATGGTATGAAATATTCCACCCTCACACACAATATGGTATGAAATATTCCACCCTCACACATAATATGGTATGAAATACTTCATACCCCCCACACAATATGGTATGAAATACTTCATACCCCCCACACAATATGGTATGAAATACTTCATACCCCCCACACAATATGGTATGAAATACTTCATACCCCCACACAAGATGGTATGAAATATTCCCCCCTCACACACAATATGGTATGAAACATTCTCCCCACACACACAATATGGTAAGAAATATTCCCCCCTCACACACAATATGGTATGAAACATTTCAACCAACTTGTATATGATATGGCATGAAACATTTCAACCAACGTGTATATGATATGGCATTGAGTTGTAAGGTGTTGTCCTACCTTTACCAGGTGGCGCTACCATTCGCTGCCACTTCTGGAACAGTGTTGTCTTGAGGCAGTCCCGAGGGTTGAGGCCGTACGCCTTGTGGCGAGACATCAGCTCCTGCATTGGCTCAAGAATCACACATAGCTGTCGGGAAGAAACAGCAGCCATGTCAACACAGGTTCACCACTTAAACAATTATTTCACACATACATCCACATCAGGTCACTGCAGAGATACAATACTATTTCCAGTGCACTATAAGCACTAACACACATTTTTAGCTGGATGCTTAAAACAGATTAAGTACTTATGAGGGTTATCCTGCCAAGAAAATAGTTTCATTAATATGGAAAAAAACTCAATCATTTCTGAGGACTGCACCCCACCCTCAAATTTTGTATGTTACATTATGAGTTACAGTGGGTAACTGTTTGGTCTTAGTCTTCAAAACTAGATCCTGCTTGAGATGATGTCACATTCTTCAATGGTATCCAGGTCATTGTGAGTGAGTGTTTTGAACAATATCTTTGTGATGTGTGAGTGAGTGAGTATGGTTTTACACTGGTTTTAGCAATATTCCAGCAATATCATGACGAGTGACACCAGAAATGGGGTTCACACATTGTACCTATGTGGGGAATTGAACCCGGGTCTTCAGCACGACGAGAAGACGTTTAACCATTAGGCTAACCCCCACCCCCACCCCAGTGTTTTTAGAACACTGGCAGGTACATGCAGAAGCTGTGAGTTTCATCAGAGAGACAGTTTATTGGAGACAATTGACTCATGGCAGAAAAAGAGTGATTCCAAATCACAAGGACACCCATTTTAAACAGAATGTCTATGGCAGGGCTATTTGGTGAAAAGTTTTCTAACTACCCATCAGCTCCACTGCTAATGTCACACAAAGTAAAAGTCCACTTTTTCTTTAATGTTACAATACTAAAGACAAAAGTAATGACTTAAATTGTGATTTTTCTTCATCAAATACTATTACAGACCTAACTTCAAATAAGTTTGAGGACTGAATGGAAACTAATGTCCCTACATGAAACACAACCATTTGAAAGGCTCTATGTGAGAGTAGTATGAGGCAATCTGTCGCATCCCTGTGTATATGCCTTTCCTTCCACACAACAAAGGTGATAAAATTAGAAACTCATGCAAACAATAAACTGAAAGATTTCCTGGCAATGCACACAAAGAACAAATCTGAGATCTGTTTCCTTATTTCGAGAGGGAAATATGTGAGAGATTCGTTACCCTGAGGAAGTTGAGAGTGTAGTTAGTGAGGCCCTGCCGCGTGATGTTCTTGGACAGCTGCTCCACCATGGCTGGATCCTGCTGCAAGATTACAACATCACATGTACAGTGTACACAATACAATGTCAGGATTCACACCAGAGTACAGTCAGTGTATAGTTGGTGTTTACAGCATATCAATGGACAGTCATTGTCCAGAACATAGTGTACAAGCAGTACATATTCAACTTTTAGTGTAAAGATGCAGTCAGCTTAAACAATGTGTATTATTGTACAGCCAGCAGGGAGGGATCAATTTTGTGCTTACCTGCATAGCAATGACACTCCGTGGAATCAGCTCTCGATGCTGCCTGATGGCAAAATGCCATGACCGAATCCTCATCAGGTCATCAAAGGTGAACTCTAAGACCAGCCGCCCCTCTGTGATCACCTGCACATGAAGCAACACAAGAGATAATGTTATGTGAGAACAGCCTCCACATTATAAGGTTTTCTATGAACATCAACAATCCTCTCACTCTCACAAAAAAACAACACCCCATTCCAGCACCATCCACCCTTCATGTTCCCTCCCACATCCCAGCACCATCCACCCTTCACGTTCCCTTCCACACCCCAGCACCACCCATCCTTCATGTTCCCTCCCACACCCCAGCACCATCCACCCTTCACGTTCCCTCCCACATCCCAGCACCATCCACCCTTCATGTTCCCTCCCACACTCCAACACCACCCATCCTTCACGTTCCCTTCCACACCCCAGCACCACCCACCCTTCATGTTCCCTCCCACACCCCAGCACCACCCATCCTTCACGTTCCCTCCCACACTCTACCACCACCCACCCTTCATTCCCTCCCACACCACCCACCCTTCATGTTCCCTCCCACACCCCAGCACCACCCACCCGTCACATTCCTCCCCCGACACAGTTCTCCCCTGCTCCCACAGTACTCTGGGTGTCCTTACATTAGTGAACATGGGTTTGCCATGCTGTGTCACCATCATGGCCTGGTCACAGTCCAGGGTTATCGTTGTGTTGTGGAAAGACTCTTTGGGATGTTTGAGTACATAGTACAGGTCTGTGACGCCACCCTCAAATATACTCCGGAAATACCGGGGGATTAATGTCCGCCCGATTGCTGAAAACATAAACACCTTGGATACAAGAAAGCAAATTCATGTTTCTTTCAATATCTATGAAATATTCTTGATTTTGTGGGATATGTATCATCAAAACAATACAAGGTCCTTTGACAGGGTCAACTTAACATAAACATACACGAAAACTGTGAGGAAATAGAGGCAGCGTCCCCTCAACTATTGCTTCAGATAGTAAACTTGTTACAGCATGATCACTCACTGTAGCGTTTTGGTCCATCTTCTAGACAGAAAGTGAGCGTCAGTGTGGCATCATCTTCAAAGAATTCGGTGGCGAAGGCATCCCACCAGAGATTGTCACTGTCCTGGAACAGAATAAGGAAGATCACCTTTAAGGCACACATTTGGATTGGGGCTGTCTTGAGCAATACAAATACATTGAGGAAGATCACTTTTATGACACACATTGGGTCACGGACCGTGTCTTGAGCAATACAAATACATTGAGGAAGATCACTTTTAGGACACACATTGGGTCTGGGACCGTGTCTTGAGCAATACAAATACATTGAGGAAGATCACTTTTAGGACACACATTGGGTCTGGGACCGTGTCTTGAGCAATACAAATACATTGAGGAAGATCACTTTTAGGACACACATTGGGTCTGGGACCGTGTCTTGAGCAATACAAATACATTGAGGAAGATCACTTTTATGACACACATTGGGTCTGGGACCGTGTCTTCAGCAATACAAATACATTGAGGAAGATCACTTTTATGACACACATTGGGTCTGGGACTGTGTCTTCAGCAATACAAATACATTGAGGAAGATCACTTTTATGACACACATTGGGTCTGGGACCGTGTCTTCAGCAATACAAATACATTGAGGAAGATCACTTTTATGACACACATTGGGTCTGGGACTGTGTCTTCAGCAATACAAATACATTGAGGAAGATCACTTTTAGGACACACATTGGGTCTGGGACCGTGTCTTCAGCAATACAAATACATTGAGGAAGATCACTTTTATGGGTCTGGGACAGGTATCACTCATGAATGTGCATGTGTTGTATATATGAATGCATGTGCATGCGTGTGAATGAGTATTATTGGAAGAAAACACGAAAACGCTGCCTTGTGCATGACTTTCTGAATATAAATTCACAACAATGATTTTCCCATTTCAACATGGAATGTAACGTTACAATTGTGATGTTGGTGATGATGGTGATGTTGGTGATGGTGATGATGATGATTGTGATGATGGTGATGTTGGTGATGATGGTGATGATGGTGATGATGGTGATGTTGGTGATGATGGTGATGATGGTGATGATGATGATTGTGATGATTGTGATGATGGTGATGTTGGTGATGATGGTGATGTTGTTGATGATGGTGATGTCACATCGATGATGCCACATTAATACAACATGACATCCTGCAACAAGGTTACAGATTGAAGGTGAGGATAGAATAAGGTCAAGGGGCAACACATGTTCATATTTTCCATAAGGAATAAGCCAGCTGTGCCAATGTGGAATTTTACACAAGCTGTTGATATGAAACTATGAAGGTTTGATGGTTTGAGTGTTCAGTACATGCTTCCTGGCAGCCATGATGATAGACACACTTGATCTTTCAAGCACACATACAGATACAGTCTTGCAGCAAACACAAGCCAGCACACACTCACCAGGTAAAACCATGATCTGAAGATACTCTGCACAATGTCACCTTGTTGTGTGTGTGTACAGTCAGTCAGTGAGTTCGGTTTATGTCACTTTTAGCAATATTCCAGCAATATCAAGGCAGGGGGGACACCAGAAATGAGCTTCACACTTTGTACCCATGTATGAAATCGAACCCGGATCTTTGGCATGACAAGCAAACGCTTTATCCACTTGTCTACCCTACCGCCCCATGTGTACAGTCAAAACACCAGAATCCACATACTGTCAACTACTGTTGTCTTTAGGTACTGGACTTAGTCATCCACAATGCTGACTCGATGTGCAGTCCTGTTTTATTCATCTGTATCTAACCTCATATAACTCAAACTATCTATATAGGTACCTCCAGCTATGACAACTGTGTTAGACTGTATTTCATATCAACAAAATTGTTTTCAATTTTCAATTAGGGGAATTGATAAACTATTATACAGTTTTCAACTTACATGCAATTTGCTGAAATTAACTACTAATTTGAAATGTTTCTTGGAACTGGCATCCATGAATATTATAACAAAAGGAATCGTATTTCTAACAACAACTGTTGCTATAGGAAACATGAGTGCCGGAGCAGGTTACTTGAAATGGGTAGGTCCTGGATAGAGGACCCAGGTACCTACAGCGTGAGTGGGTATGGTTTCATGCCGCTTTTAGCAAGATTCCAGCAATATCACGGCGGGGGACACCAGAAATGGGCTTCACACATTCTATCCATATGGGGAATCGAACCTGGGTCTGACGAGAGAACGCTTTGACCACCAGGCTACCATACCATCCCCAGGTACCTACAGGATGCTCTGGACATGTAGTCACACCCGATATTGTATAATGACAGCAACAATAAAACTACTACTTTCACTGCAAGATGCCAATGTTCATATTCCTTTCTGACTAACTTTCCGATATTCTGACCTTCATAAGATAGACTCAACTTCTCAACTTGAGTGTATACACAATCAGACTTTTTCTATATTTGTATCTGAACTGTTTTTGCCAAGGCTCCAGAACCCTTTTTCATCCAATTTTTGCAACCTTCAGCAGATATTCAGGAAGCGTCCGGTATACTGGTGCCAGGTACTGGGACAGTAAATCTGGCCTCACACCATCACTAATATCCTAGAATCTCTTGATGTGTCCATCAGGGCAAACCTCTAATAATCGGAACTGCCAGGAAACAATTTTCTAAGTGAGAGGTGAGCAGACAAACTAAATGCAGCTATGCCATATGTGCATTTTGATTGATCATTCCCACAACATGCTGGTCCTGCTACAATTAGGCGCTTGGAACCTAAATACTGCCACAGGTCATTGCAAAGATTACAAGCGATTTTCAAGGACAGAGACTCAAATAGAAATCGTATAGGAATATTTACATGTCTCCCAAAAATTCCACTTGGTTATAATATATCAATACAATTATTTTCTGAAGTCCATATGCTATTTTAAGTCAGACAAATTACTGTCTCAATTTAGCCTGCAGTTTTTCCTACCAGACAGCTCGGAGAGTAAGTTGTCTGATTTAGATCCCCAAAGTCTTGTGACCAAAAAAATTTGTGGCAAATATGCATCTTCTTTTGGGGGCCCCAAGAGTGAAAATCAATATGGTTTCAATAATTCATTGCTTGTGTCATATTGACGTATTTCACAGAGGGGCAGGACTCGTTAGCCATTCAGTAAACTGACACATAAATGTCACATTAGAACTTTTCATAGTACCCTCACATAATAAATATACATCAGAATTGAGATAGGATTACAAGAGTTATCAGAAAAAAACATACTTTAAAAAGCGTTCACATAAAACAGTGACAAAACAATGGACATTACTACATGTAATTTTCTGTTTACTGAGATAGTAAATCTCGGTTCATTTGAGAGTGCAAAAGACAATAAATTACACATGTTCTAAACCCATGTCCACAAATTTATTTCAGAACAAGAAGGGACACTGTACTGTACTACCAATTATACTATTTACCTAACTGCTACCTTTGATGACCACTAGTTATCATTGGAGAAATCTATTATACAAGTACAAGCTTGCAGAACAAGGAATAAAATTCCAGTTATTTATTCTAGGTCACAAGATAACAGCTCAGTCTGCTGGTCTGTTCACCAACAGGAAGGGGAAAGTCTCAAAATCACAAAACTTTTTTGCCAGGTATTGTTAACCCCTTATAAGCTGACATGAATACAGTTAACTTACTGACAAAAGGTGAAAGTGAGGACAGATTGCCTTATCACCAGTCAGGTGTCATTATCTCTATCTTACTGGTATTTTGAAAGTACTATTCTGTAAAATTTAAAATAGTTTCAAAGAAGCAAAAGCAACTAATGCACTCTACTGTTAACAACTATTTCTCCAACCCTCCATTCCTCAAATCTACTTTATGACATTTGTTAAAGAGTACATGTATTTGTCTCTGAAATCTTTAATTTAACAATATTTCTTATTCCATATACACATATACAAATCTAAATATATATACTGACAAAAGAATATACAACTATCATTCAGAATCAATTTTATAAGCTTGATCATGAGAACATCAATATGAGATGAAAATAGCTGATCAAAAAAGAATTATTCTCGTCTTTGACCTAAGCTGATGACAAAGAATACTACTAACACCAGTCGTCAATGTAATCCGGCCCGTCACAGGTTTGAGATTTGATTACCCTGAGACGGTCCCCGGCCCTGTCTGGCCAAGTCTAATGGGCACAAGAACTAATCAAGTCATTGGTTACCAAGTGACCTGGGCCCCGCAAATTTTCCACCCAGACAATTCTGCAGCCTCTAACACAAGAAGATGTATTTCACTGTAAAACTGGCAAAATTTGCTCCACTAAAAATCAATACCGCACCAGTGACTTTCACCACCCTGTCTGTTGTCTACTGATGACAGATTGGTGGACGAAGCTCTGTGTTTATCTCCCCACTTGATACCATCATTAGGAAACAGGAACAATATGACACTAAAATTTTCGTCTGGAAATATAACTACGTGACAGTGTACTGATTTGCTGTTGGATAGATTCACAGTGTTTAACAACACTAACAGATATTGAATGAAATGCTTGAGGTTTTGTTAGAATCTGGTTTCATTACTTTTCAAAGGAACTTGTATTTCCTTGAACACTACAGCCATAGGCACTGTGGCTCACCTTTCACAAAACAAATTGAAAGATCACTGTCAAAGGCAGAATTATCCAGGGACCTAAATTTGTAATTTTAACAGCATCATTGTGGCATTCTCTTCATAAGAATACTTAAAGAGAAACAGTTGTGTTAGTAGCGTGACCATGATACCAGTGTCGTGTGTTGTACACGCAGTTCACACATCAGCCACTACAACTTTCCTTCACTTCCCACAACAATGAATTACACCACAAACATGCCTATCGTATCACATGAATGAAGTAATATATGAGTAACATTATTTTTCAGAACTTATCATTTCCAGAAGCCACAGTTCTGCCATTAACTGCCCCATGAATGAGGGCATTTGAACAGATCCGGTGAGTGAGTGAGTTTATTTTTTACGCCGCATTCCGCAATATTCCAGCTATATGGCAGCGTAACAGATCTGAACCCCTGCAAATGATTAAATTACCTTAAAACTAGCATTAATGTTATTATAGCTAAATACTTAGTATGCTAATATACCGAAACCAACCAGCCAATAAAACTGGAGTGTACTGCGGTAGTTATTCACACAAACCACACAAGAGAACTTAGAGGCCAGTGTCAACAGCACTGGCCCATGTAACTATAGTTACACCATTTGACGTCGGTCATCTTTTTACGATAATCCAACATCCTTTTTTAAAGTTTGATGTCATGATTGTTATTGAAATGGAATTGATTGACAGTGCAATGGTTCATCGGCATTTGCTTTTCTGTCTGACGTATCAGCCCACTCTACATGTTGCACTTTTTGTGTCACTCCTATCTATCGGCTGTCCAGTGTTTACTCAAGCTGCTACCGTCTTCTCCTTAATATATGCATCGGGTATCATAAAGCAGTATAAACTCAAATGAGTTTACACAGCCATTCTGATGCAGTCCAACATCATGTTTGTTTAGTATATGCAGATTAGCTACGAGGTCACATGGCAACATGTTTGATATTTGTCCAACCTAAGGCAAAATGAGGTCAGGATCAGGTTACAGTGGCCTGCACTCAGCCTGATAACTTGCACACATATTCTTGTAGTGAAGCTTCATTCCACGCCATTAGCCATTAGTCAAGACCCTAATATTAAAAGAGATCTTCAGGTCTGCAGGCACAAAGATTTCGTCACTGATTGAAAGGCATCTGGTGAGTGAGTGAGTGAGTGAGTGAGTGAGTGAGTGAGTGAGTGAGTGAGTGAGTGAGTGAGTGAGTGAGTGAGTGAGTGAGTGAGTGAGTGAGTGAGTGAGTGAGTGAGTGAGTTTAGTTTTATGCTGCTTTTGGCAATATTCCAGCAATATCACAGCAAGGTACAACAGAAATGGGCTTCACACATTATACCCATGTGGGGAATCGAACCTGGCAATCTGTAGTGACATCAACCATCCACAGCTCAGTCAATGTACACTTAAAAACTAATATTTAATTACTTGAAAATGTTATTAAAATTATTTTGATTAAATCCATTTTGTTTCGCAAATATGATCAAGTCCATAGTGTAACACTGACAAATATTATTGGTTAAACTTGGCTACATATATACTGTAACAAGATCAGTGAGTGAGTTTAGTTTTATGCCACTTTTAGCAAAATTCCAGGAATATCACAGCAGGGCACACCAGAAATGTGCTTCAGCGTGACGAGTGAACGCTTTAACCACTAGGCTACCCCACCGCCCCCTATAACAATATGACCATCACACAGTCACATCACTTTACTTGTACTGATCTTAAGACAAAAGCTTTGGAATATAATTTATGATGTTTATATTTAAAGGGATGGTTTCAACACATACTTTCAAAATAATATAATATTCAACGAGATAATATTTGTCACATTCGTTCATACTCATGAAATAAATACAAATATTTTTGCTTGGGAATGTTGTACATCAACCTCCCTCAAGATCTGTGAAATGACAAAAATGATTAGCTGGAGACAAGTGCGGGTAAGGACAAGCATGTGACCTGGATCCTCCTCGCTACAGGTCAGTGAGCTTCGATCTACCCATCACCAATCAGATTTCAAGTAACAGCCTGTCCCAAACCTGTTTGTTTGAACTTATTATGTTCCGGTGAGGAAAAAATCAATACTGGTACTTTGTCCTCTCGATGAATATGCTGATTGGGACGCGCGACCAAAGACAATGGGTGGCCTGAAGACAGCAAGTCTAGCTGGTGATGCACCCTGTTGGGGGCAGGGGGGAGGGGGGAACAATCACTCATGCATAGAGATGCTAAGGTTGTGATTAAATATGCAAACACCACTGAGATCTCCTTGCGATCAGACCTGTGGATTATTCCAAGCAAGGCAGAGATACAGGCCCTGTTGAGTTCGACCCATGAACATTAGTCTTGTATTAACCCTGTATCTCACAACCTCCGAGCTCATCGATTCTGGATTTAGAAATTAGTTGCAAACATGATTATTTACTGCCAGTGGGAGTTGTGCCAGCCCTTCCGATTTAACCCCATCTCATTCCGATTTAGAGGTTTTTGGTCAAGAATCATGTCCATTCTCGCATCTTAGCTGTTGCTGAGGTATTATGGGTTAATCTGTAAACATTAGGTCTGTGTTAACCCTTTGAGGGGAAGTATCTATAGAGAAAACATATTTTCCTTGATTACTGGATGTCATAAAGAATTGGAATATTGATTTAATCATAAGGCTGCCAATTTTTAAAAGATACTGCAAGATAATATTCAAGGGGTCAGCAGGAAAATGCCTTAAACTTCACAGTTTCTAACACATCTAAAAGGCAAAAGGGTTAATTTGAGGAAGAAAAAACATATTAACCCATAAATGCCAATTCTCTTTTGCTTTCTCTTCTGTTATAAAGTATGTTTATAGAGGGCAAGAATAATATATTCCATGCTATCCACATTTTAAGGTTAAACATATTTCTAAAAAAAGAATGTCTTTAAAAAGGATCATATGAACAGTGTATATTCCCCCACCCCCACCCCCAAGCACTGTTAATACAGATAAATTTAAAACAAATTCTGATTTGAATACAATGAGACTAATATGTAAAAGAGATCTTATTATAAGTAACGTATTTTCTGTGTTCCATTAGAACAAATTTAACATTGATAAACAATGCAAAATGTTAGATAAGAATACACTTTAGAAATTTTTTTTCAAATAAACATTCTTAGAATTCACAGTCATTTTTTTTCAAATAAACATTCTTAGAATTCATAGTAATTTATCATAAACAATGGTCAAGAAAGCATTACAAATACACAACAAACATTCATCAAACTGCACACAGAAAGGGTTAACTCAAGTTGACTTCATGATTTCAAGGATTAGGTCAGTATGTATGGGTGAGTTCATTTCCAAAACAGGGAGTACCGGTTGACACACACAACATACATCCCTCATTATAAAGCATTCTGGGGGAAAATTTGTTGCTGGTCAGTTCAAAACCCCTCATAATATCTGAAATTTATACTTAATATAAAACAAACATGTTAACATCAAAGCTAGATAGCCATACTGGAAATTGTACAAACGAACCAGCTTTGTTATACAAAACTAGTGTTATAACGAGGACCTAATGCTACCCCTGACAAGGGTCAGGTAGAATCCGATTAATTTATATTTTACCCTGGAAACTGAGGTGAAGGGTTCATTATGACAAGGGAGAAAGTCAGTGTGTAACTGCATGCAAGACAAGACAATAAAGGATGTCGCCTTTCAAACTGGTTACCAGAAATTTAACCTTCCCCAATAACTTTTAACAGTACCTCATGCATTAAAAACTAACAAAAACTTGAATAGCAAATAACAACACATTAGCTGCATGGAAACACCTGAAATATTCTTGTCTTCAAATCTAAAAGAAATTAGGAATTAATTTCCTAGCAGAATCAATTCTCAGGACTAATTTTAAATTCAGATTATGGAGTTTACTATGAAATCTAACGTGAATAAATGTTCTGTATTAGCTTTGGGTATGTCATGGTTGGGTGGAAACACAACATTTCAAAGTATGCCCAAAGTGGTGTCTCACAATAGATACTGCTTTGTATCTTGATATTTACAGTAAGGATCATATGGCCTTTAGCATTTACTGGGAATTTAACTTTTTGTCTACAGACACTGTGACCTTTATGGCAGATAATGCTAACTAAAAGATGTAGAAGTATTTCTGAGCCAACATTTCTGCAGTAAGCTTGGAATTAGATATTTTGACGGAAATAGAATAATGTTTTTCACTAAGTAAGAGAAATGTCATTGCCTTGCCAAAAGTTGATTTGAAAAAGAAATTCAGTTGAACATATAAAGACTAACTACTCTCTTGATATGTAGTTGAAATACATGATATGTTATTCTAAATCAAAGATTGTAAAATATATCTGAATAAAGAATCTATTCTCAGTTTCATTAACCCCTTGATTGCTAACACACCTTCTGGATGTTCACCTACAATCATCCAATACGTAACTTAGAACAAAAATACTCAACTGTACCAAATATGAACTACCGGTATGCATTTGAGATATTTACAAATCTGAGAATAATAAAATAGCTTATATATATAACTTTCATTAAGGTGATTGATAAAAAAAAACATTCTCGCCCAAACAAGTTACAATCAAGACTGACTACAAATACATCATCTCAGAACAGTCACCATTTTAGTTGCCATCAGAAATAGCAGTATAGTTGCTATGGCAACAGCAACATCAGAATGACATATAAATACCCCAAGATTGGGATCTGAATCATGACAGATGGACGCTGCATCTTCTGCAAAGGTTTCCAATAAAAAATTCAAATATATCACTTTGATGTTTCCAAAATAGAAACCGTCATTAAAAATACACAAATAAAATGGAATCATGAAATTCAATACCATCACTAATAACTGAACAACTGACCACTCAAAATGGCCGTGAAGGTGAGAAAAATAAGGGGAGAACATGGACATACTTCACATGCAAGTGAATGAGTGAGTTTTGTTTTATGCCACTCAGCAATATTCCACCTATATGGTGTCCGTCTGTTAAATTGAGCCTGTACCAGAAATCCAGTGTTCAACAGCATGAGCATCGATCTAACAATATGTCAACCAAGTCAGCGATCCTGACCACCCGATCCCGTTTGTCGCCTCTTATGACAAGCATGGGTTACTGAAGATCAATTCTAAATCGGAGCTTCATGGGTTATATTCCACCTGTGAATGTACAAGTTTGAATACTGTTTATGTGAAATATTAACTAATAATCACAACTGACAACCACACCAACCAATATTGATATGCAGTCTGAAGGACTGTAACAAGTGTAACCCATCTGAAGGATTGTAACAAGTGTAACCCATCATGGGGTGCAGTCTGAAGGACTGTAACAAGAGTAACCCATCATGGGGTTAAATCTGAAGGACTGTAACAAGTGTAACCCATCTGAAGGACTGTAACAAGAGTAACCCACCATGGGGTTTAATCTGAAGGACTGTAACAAGAGTAACCCATCATGGGGTTAAATCTGAAGGACTGTAACAAGAGTAACCCATCATGGGGTTAAATCTGAAGGACTGTAACAAGTGTAACCCATCTGAAGGACTGTAACAAGAGTAACCCACCATGGGGTTTAATCTGAAGGACTGTAACAAGAGTAACCCATCATGGGGTTAAATCTGAAGGACTGTAACAAGTGTAACCCATCTGAAGGACTGTAACAAGAGTAACCCATCTGAAGGATTGTAACAAGTGTAACCCATCATGGGGTGCAGTCTGAAGGACTGTAACAAGAGTAACCCATCATGGGGTTAAATCTGAAGGACTGTAACAAGTGTAACCCATCTGAAGGATTGTAACAAGTGTAACCCATCATGGGGTTTAATCTGAAGGACTGTAACAAGAGTAACCCATCATGGGGTGCAATCTGAAGGTCTGTAACAAGAGTAACCCATCATGGGATGCAGTCTGAAGGACTGTAACAAGTGTAACCCATCTGAAGGATTGTAACAAGTGTAACCCATCATGGGGTGCAGTCTGAAGGACTGTAACAAGAGTAACCCATCATGGGGTTAAATCTGAAGGACTGTAACAAGTGTAACCCATCTGAAGGATTGTAACAAGTGTAACCCATCATGGGGTTTAATCTGAAGGACTGTAACAAGAGTAACCCACCATGGGGTGCAATCTGAAGGTCTGTAACAAGAGAAACCCATCATGGGGTGCAGTCTGAAGGACTGTAACAAGAGTAACCCACCATTGGGTGAAATCTGAGGGACTGTAACAAATGTAAACCACCATGGGGTGAAATCTGAGGGACTGTAACAAGTGTAACCCATCTGAAGGACTGTAACAAGTGTAACCCATCTGAAGGACTGTAACAAATGTAACCCATCTGAAGGACTGTAACAAGTGTAACCCATCTGAAGGACTTTAACAAGTGTAACCCATCACAGGGTGCAGTCTGAATGGCTGTATCAAGTGTAACCCATCATGGGATGCAATCTGAAGGACTGTTACAAGAGAAACCCATCATGGGGTGCAGTCTGAAGGACTGTTACAAGAGAAACCCATCATGGGATGCAATCTGAAGGACTGTTACAAGAGAAACCCATCATGGGGTGTAGTCTGAAGGATTGTAACAAGTGTAACCCATCTGAAGGACTGTAACAAGTGTAAACTACCATGGGGTGCAATCTGAGGGATTGTAACAAATGTAACCATCTGAAGGACTGTAACAAGTGTAACCCATCTGAAGGTGAGGTGAGGTGAAATTGGGTTTAACGGCGTGCTTGAGAATATTTCGCTCATATGACGACGTGCATGCGTGTACATGTGTATGTGCGGCTGCTTGTACTAGCCCAGACTTAAGCTGGTGTTATAGTGCTAGCTCACTGAGATACCATGCCGCAGTGAAGCATGAATACCCCACTCAGACACATTATACTGACTCCGAGCCGACCAGTCCTTGTTGCACCCATTAATGCCGAGCGCCAGGCAGGGACCAACAAGTACCATATTTTAACGTCTTTTGGTATGACGCGGTCAGGGATCGAACCCGCAACCTTCCGCTCTCCGGGCGAGACGCTCTAACCACAACACCAAGGAGGCGGTCCCCCATCTGAAGGACTGTAACAAGAGTAACCCATCATGGGGTGCAGTCTGAAGGACTGTAACAAATGTAACCCACCATCGGGTGCAGTCTGAAGGACTGTAACAAGTGTAACCCATCATGGGATGCAGTCTGAAGGACTGTAACAACAGTAACCCATCATGGGGTGCAGTCTGAAGGACTGTAACAAGTGTAACCCATCTGAAGGACTGTAACAAGAGTAACCGATCATGGGGTGCAATCTGAAAATGGCTGTAACAAGTGTAACCCATCTGAAGGACTGTAACAAGAGTAACCGATTATGGGGTGCAATCTGAATGGCTGTAACAAGTGTAACCCATCCTTGGGTGCAATCTGAATGGCTGTAGCAAGAGTAAACCATCTGAAGGACTGTAACAAGAGTAACCCATCACCGCGACCAGTCTGAAGGACTGTTACAAATGTAACCCACCATGGGGTGCAATCTGAAGGATTGTAACAAGTGTAACCGATCTGAAGGACTGTACCAAGTGTAACCCATCTAAAGGACTGTTACAAGTCTAACCCATCTGAAGGACTGTAACAAGAGTAACCCATCATCTGGTGTAATCTGAAGGATTGTAACAAATGTAACCCACCATGGGGTGCAGTCTGAAAGATTGTTACAAGTGTAGCCCATCATCTGGTGTAATCTGAAGGATTGTTACAAGTGTAACCCATCATGGGGTGTAGTCTGAAGGATTGTAACAAGTGTAACCCATCTGAAGGACTGTAACAAGAATAACTGAACATGGGGTGTAATCTGAAGGACTGTAACAAGTGTAACCCATCATGGGGTGCAGTCTGAAGGACCGTAACAAGTGTAACCCATCACGGGGATCAGTCGGACAGATTGTAACAAGTGTAACCCATTATAGGAAGTAGTCTGAAGAAGTGTAACCCATCATGGGGTGCAGTCTGAAGGACTGTAACAAGTGTAACCCATCATGGGGATCAGTCTGACAGATTGTAACAAGTGTAAGCCATTATAGGAAGTAGTCCGAAGAAGTGTAACCCATTATAGGGTGCAGTCTGAAGGACTGTAACAAGTGTAACCCATCATGGGGTGTAGTCTGAAGGACTGTAACAAGAGTAACCCATCACGGGGACCAGTCTGAAGGACTGTAACAAGTGTAACCCATCACGGGGACCAGTCTGAAGGACTGTAACAAGTGTAACCAATCTGAATGACTAACAAGAATAACCCATCATGGGGTATAATCTGAAGGACTGTAACAAGTGTAGCACATCACGGGGACCAGTCTGACAGACTGTAACAAGTGTAAGCCATTATAGGGTGCAGTCTGAAGGACTGTAACAAGCGTAACCCATCACGGGGACCAGTCTGACTGAAGACTGTAACAAGTGTAAGCCATTATAGGGTGCAGTCTGAAGGACTGTAACAAGCGTAACCCATCACGGGGACCAGTCTGAAGGACTGTAACAAGTGTAACCCACCATAGGGACCAGTCTGAAGGACTGTAACAAGTGTAACTCATCATAGGGCATAGGGTGCAGTCTGAAGGACTGTAACAAGTAACAAGTGTAACTCATCATAGGGACCAGTCTGAAGGACTGTAACAAGTGTAACTCATCATAGGGTGCAGTCTGAAGACCAGTCTGAAGGACTGTAACAAGTGTAACTCATCACAAGTAACTCATCATAGGGTGCAGTCTGAAGGACTGTAACAAGTGTAACTCATCATAGGGTGCAGTCTGAAGGACTGTAACAAGAGTAACCCATCACGGGGACCAGTCTGAAGGACTGTAACAAGTGTAACCCATCATGGGGTGCCGTCTGAAGGACTGTAACAAATGTAAACCACCATGGGATGTAATCTGAAGGACTGTAACAAGTGTAACCAATCTGAATGACTGTAACAAGAGTAACCCATCATGGGGTGTAATCTGAAGGACTGTAACAAGTGTAGCCCATCACGGGGACCAGTCTGACACCAAGTGTAAGCCATTATAGGGTGCAGTCTGAAGGACTGTAACAAGCGTAACCCATCACGGGGACCAGTCTGAAGGACTGTAACAAGTGTAACCCACCATAGAGACCAGTCTGAAGGACTGTAACAAGTGTAACCCATCACGGGGACCAGTCTAAAGGACTGTAACAAGTGTAGCCCATCACGGGGACCAGTCTGAAGGACTGTAACAAGTGTAACTCATCATAGGGTGCAGTCTGAAGGACTGTAACAAGTGTAACTCATCATAGGGTGCAGTCTGAAGGACTGTAACAAGTGTAACCCATCATGGGGTGTAGTCTGAAGGACTGTAACAAGAGTAACCCATCACGGGGACCAGTCTGAAGGACTGTAACAAGTGTAACCCATCATGGGGTGCCGTCTGAAGGACTGTAACAAATGTAAACCACCATGGGATGTAATCTGAAGGACTATAACAAGTGTAACCAATCTGAATGACTGTAACAAGAATAACCTATCATGGGGTGTAATCTGAAGGACTGTAACAAGTGTAGCCCATCACGGGGACCAGTCTGACAGACTGTTACAAGTGTAACCAATCACAGGGACCAGTCTGACGGACTGTAACAAAAGTAAGCCATCATGGGGTGCAGCCTGGACCACAGTAGCAAGTGAAACCATCTTGATGTGCTGTATGCTGTAGTGTAATTGGTAACTGAGATCATTCTACACTTGGTACACCACATGTTACATGGAACATCCCCTATCGAAGCTGCACCATCTGTTGTTTCGTCACAGTGCCTGCCCAACAAAACACTGGAATTGTATCAGATACGGTAAGAGCATCAAGAACGTCCATATTTGGTTTTTGAATTTCATTATGAATACAACTACTTTATCATAATTGTCATGGTTTTGTACTTTAAAATGTACAAGAACAACACCTGTAACATATTTTGTGTAAACTTGGTCTCGTCGATATATGGCTGAAACAACGCCATTGCGACGTTTAATTTTAACTCACTCACCACTCACATATTTTGTTTAAATATTACTGAGGACCAATGTCCGTCCAATAGTGAGTGGGTGAACCCATGTCCATTGCTGCCAGCAATATTACATCAATATTACTGCAATCTGCACCTGTCAAACTAATGGTTGATAGCAACCATCCACAAGTGGAGTAGACATGCTCATGATATCAATCACTGGATTGTGTGTTTCAGACTGTATTATTTACAGACTTTGGTCATACAGCTGTATTATTGTGTCACATTACACAACAAGCAAGATGGATATATGATAACCATCACAATACCAAACCACCTGAACCATGTTTAGCTGCTTCCCCACTGCAATAAGACACGTCCATTTCTGGTGTCAGTGATATTGCTGAAACAGTGCTACAAGTGGCATAACACCATTCCCACTAAAACCTACATTAAGTATTGGTTGCATAATCGGTGTCAACATCACAATAGGGACTACAATTTGACTTAATTAGCGTTAGTCATGTACAAAACATGATGTCTTTGTCTACAGCATTTTACATGAGCTGCGCTAAGAGCAGTGGGTCAAGCAGGAGCTGTGTCTGTTTCACATAGTTCATAGACAACGTGCCCAGTTTGGACTCCAGGAGACGACCAGACCCCCACAACGCCATGACTGTTGTAAGTCCACGCCAAGCATAGTGGTCAGGCAGACTTGGCCTGTTGGGTCGTAGTGTCAAATGGACAACTGCTCATTCTTCAAGTAGGGACGGTGGGATAGCCTTGTGGTTAAAGTGTTCGCTCATCATGCCAAACGCCCAGATTCGATTCCTTGCATGGGTACAATGTGTGAATCCCATTTCTGGTGTCCTCTGCCATGATATTGCTGGAATATTGCTAAAAGTGGCGTAAAACTTAACTCATTCACTCACTCATTCTTTTAGTCAGTAGTGTGCTTGATCCAGACTCAACTAGGGGGGGCTAGACTGCAGCATTAAATAAATGTCAACATCACTCAATCACTCATCAGAAGGAGTGAAATGATATATCAACTTGCATCCAATTTTGAAAACTTTCTACTCCAGCAATGCATTGCAATTGTTTACCCACCATTTTTATTATATCAATTTAAATTCTAAAATCTAGATATTATTGTTGATAGTATGGCTAGTTCAATAGTCACATATAGTTAAATGATAAAATGAGCATCAGAAAACTCAAAAGCCAGTCCTGCATAGTTTTCATCTGGTAACATTATATGACAACTTCAGATGATAGTTATTTCATGTTGATTTGACTGGCAAATGGCGGGAAAATGGCCGATTTTGACACTGTCTCCAATACTTTATTCATTTCTATCACATTTATTAATGAACTATTCACGACTGCACGACAATGACAATATCAAAAACAGACCCAATAGTCCACTCGATTCACAGATAAGTTTAAATGCTTGTTGAAATAAGAAAAAGTTCTTTACACAATGAAGCCTTCTTTCATGACATTAGATCCTGAAAAGTTCAGTAAATTGTTCACAAACTACAGAAATTCTTGTTTAACCTAGAAAGTTTGCATTTATGAAAACCACTCAAAATCCAATGCACACCCTAGCATTATTAGTCAAATTAATTGACAGAGGATGCAAGTGCTTTCAAGGTTAACATTTTAGCTATATTTCATGTATGCTGTGCCTACGCTGTGTCTATCATTTTTATCTAGCAGCTATTGACTATTTTCAATATGCTCCAAGTTTCCTGGAGTTTAATTTGTCAAGCTGACACACTTCATTGTTGTAATTTCCATATGTTGCACTACAGGTAAACTCAATACAAATATATTTTTTTATTAAAACAAGGAATGTGCACAAAACGTAATGTGTATTACATGAAGCTTTGTTTGTCACCTGTGTTGACAACATTAAAACTGTGAGACTAAATACATGGGATGTCTTACCAGTGAACCCAGTATCTATATTGTTCCAAATGACAACAGCGATGTGTTCTCTAATCTGTTCTCTAACACTACAAATGTGTTGATGATACGATCCAGATAGACATAGTGGTACACATCCAAATGTTGCTTCACAACATGCAAACAAGCACTACACAGTGTCACCAGATAAAGGCAGACTTGATGGATTGTGATGAGAGGCATGCGGAGTGTTCTTGAAGGTAGCAATGGCATGTAGAGGGTTAACCTGGACAGGGGAACCTAGCTCATGCATAACACTGGGTGAAGGTGAGGCATTACTGGCTCACTGCTTCACAGGGAACACCCATACAATACAACCTGCAGGGTAGGGACATACTGGTGGGGTGGGGCAGGGCGGGGCAGGGTGGGTACATATGCCTGTCACTGAATTTCTAACATGAGGAAGACCAAACTCACAATTGCTACACATGAATTAAACTTCTATGTTATTAAGGTGTATGGGAGTAAATAAGAAACATCTTACCTCCGTCCTCTGTTGCAGTCTTTTGTTGAGTTCATAGATGCGGTAGTCTGGCTGGCCCATATAGGGGGTGGGCCTCCTGTAAAAGGTAGAGAAAGGAGAGGAGTAGAAGGGGTCAGGGTTCATGTTCATCATTACAAGCTGTTCCGATCAATGTCGCCACCATGGACAGCCAGTCAATTGTTGGACATTGAAATGGACACGGGTAAGGCAGAGTGACCAGCAGTTGACAGTCACACTGAGCACATGGGTTGTTCTGGCTGTTTACGAGCTAACAACAAAGCCCCAGTTCCTCCACACATTATTCCAGTCTCGGTAGATGATAGTACAGTTGTAACTAAGGCAAACCACATGCTTGGATGTTGGACAAGCCCATGCTGGCGAAGTCACAATATTGGGAGCTGCAACGCTGGCTCCCCCATCCTGATGCCACTTGCTAGCTCCACCTCAGCTCTATATAACAGTGGTCCATGTGCTATCAGCCGCTCACAGGCTATTTTTAGAGTGCGCACGGCTCTCCGGTAACTCAAACAGAGTGAATCTAAGCTGAGGCTAGAGAGGTGCTTGCATATAGAACATAGTACGCTATACACTACTCAAGTCGAGGTGCCTCCGCAGGTCAAGCTTAATCAAGACTAAATTCCCTCATCCACTTACGACCCACTAATTTGATTTTGGTGATGAAATTTACAGGCAATTTACGATGTTCTTGGCTAGGATTGTGTTACAAAACTGGGCATATCATTGCAACACATGTGATATGTAGATGTTCTCATGAAATATTTACATACACACCCAAAGCTAGGAATGCGCAGCTTATTCTAGCTTGTAAAATCAATGGTCACCAAAACCTGATCAAATTACATTCATTCTCTTTTTCTCATTTTTTTCCAGGTGTGGATATTAACATGACTAGATAAGTTCACGGACTTGAGGCCTAATGTATAATATACTTCTGAACTTGAAACATCCGGAGGGGAGAAGATGAATATCAGACATCATTCCTCAGGTGTCTAGCAATAAATAACATTTCCCATGGCAACTGAATAAATACTGACTTTTAATTAGAACTAACCACAAGAGTCAGACAGTTTAAAATGAAATGAAGAACATTTTCAGAAAGTCATGGAAATTAATGTTACAAGAAATCCACTTGTTGGTGACAGTTGTTTGAGAAGTTTGTGGACTTTTCCAGAGAACATCAGTTCCAACATTAAACTAAGTAACTAATACAGTAACTTAAACTAATATCACAAGAATGCAAGTTATATAACAAGTGAAAACATTCAATTTCAACAGTAAGCTTAATTGACATATTCTATCTGACATTTGAGTTAATCTGACAATGTTGCCAATAGGACAAAGGTACGTCAGCAGGTCTATCAGACATAGTTTGGTTTTTCTGTTCCACATCAACAGATCCAGTAAGCCATCGCTGGACCCAATGAATCACAAACAGCGACAACAAGCAAGATAGCTCTAGCTGCTACATATCTTAAGTCAAATAATCTTCTAATACACAACTAAAAGTGAATGAGTGAGTTAAAATTTAATGTTGCATCAGCTATATTTCAGCCATATTTCAGCCATATAGCGACAAGACCATGTTAACGGCTCCCTAAAACACCAACAGAGGATGGGCTACGTCCACACGAGACAAAATGTCCAGTGCACGAAACAGGCGGAGTGTAATGAGTTTAGGAAGACGTTGTGCATGCTGGTATGCCTGTAATAAGATAATACAGAGACTCCAGGAAGAATGGAGAAACACAGGATAAAGAAGTGGCGGGAATTAAGGTCAAGGCATGGCCTGTGGGAGCAGATAAGACAATGTGAAGGACACATAAATGATGTTCTCCATAACCTCAATACATTCTGTTCAAAATTTAGGTCAAGTAACATTTATTTTTTGTTTATAATCCTGACAGTTTGACCCGTGACTTTTTCCTAACCTGGTTGTAAGTCTTTGTTGTATACTGTTACATTATCCGGGTATATTCAACCCACTGTCATTTGTTTCCATCTAGCTATTGTGTCACACAGGAACAAGGGGTTATTTACAATATACCATTGTACAGTTCGAGAAGATCACTGTATGGGTATCGCATGTACAATACACAAACAGAACTAGACACAAGCAATCACATGTGAAATACCCTTGACACCTTCGCAACTCAGTATGATGCATTTTGAATCTATCCAGTCAATATAACTAGCAATGTGAATGAAATAGTGAGCTCTGAACAATGTCGCCCAGGTTACTGTGTGTGATGAAAGCCCAAAGTATTTACAGCCTTTGTGAAAGTGGCGTACATGGCTGTAACAAACACAGAATCATCCTCACAACAAATCTGGCATTCGAAACTGCTGTCACTAGGTCCTGCCTCAACTAAGGGATGCAACTCAGAACATGAAAATTTAAGTTTTGACTCCTGGGCCCATGATAAGGGAAAAGACCAACCAGTTATATCCACTTCAGCTAATTCTTATCTTGATTCTTATTTTGATTATTGATTAGAAGAAAATACTGTTCAAACCATATAAACGGTTGGAAAACAAAGTAATAATTTGAGAAGAGATTATACATGTTTTTAAAGTATATTCATTCAAAAAGATCATGTACCTACTTATTTGAAATTAAATAAAATTATCCAGATCAAATTAAAATGACCATTCTGGTATGATTCTTCCAAATCAGTTACATTCCCAGCTAAAAGGGTTTTATAGAAATGGATGTTTGTTTTACATACTCCATGAACAACAAAACTGTGTATTTTGGGGCCAAGAAGTAAAAACCACTTGTAAACACAAGCATGTTCTGGTGCCAAGGTAATCCTCATACATAAACAGCGTCTGTTTCAAAGAAATATCTCCTTGAACTTAAGGTCAAGTATCATGGTCTATGTTCTGCGGTACAAGATTTGTTGGGGCCAGAAATAATAGTGTACCTTGCTAGTATCATTTCAATGAACATTCAATTTCTTTACAGTTATTATTTTCATTTATCATTATGTTTTGGTTCTCATTCTCATAATTCCCATTCATCAGTGAGAAATGATGATAAAATAAATATATTGAAAGGTGTTAAATTATTGTTTGGTAGAATGGTTTTGGGTGTGGCCAGACATAAAAGATACATTGTGTTGCCCTAACAAACAACTTAATATATTTGTGCAATTCAACATGATGCTCAGCCATGTTAGATTCAGTCAACACTATTTGCCTGTCTCACAGTTTGGTCATGTAGGAGTGTAGGAGTTACCTCCCTTCGATTCATCATCCCACCAGCGAAGACAACCTAGAATACCTCTATCAAAACCCATTTACATAACATTTAATGACTCATACACGGAGTTGAATTTTGTTCTACAGACATGGATGGAACTGCAGTGAATACATTCACTCCACCCAATGTAATGAAGCCGGGATTGATGGACAACTTCACTGACACAGAGAAGATGGCTTAGAAATTTGTCAACATCATGTTTATAACTGTATCACTATATAAACATCTCAAAAGCAGATGGGTGGGCTTGTAAACTGTCACAGATGTAGTGTACAACCTGCTGTGGCTTCACATACTGCTGTTTTAATCCCAGTAAGCTGTCTATGGACTCACTTGATGAGCTCCCCATGATAGGCTTACACGGGGATCAGACATAACAGCCCTCCCTTCTCGCACAACACAGCAAGCGCTGTGATGCAGCCATATAATTGATTTGTAAAAAAAGAGAGATTACCATCCAAGACTGTGTGACAGAACCATTAGATGACAATCAAGCAATTGAAGTGAGTGAGTGAGTATGGTTTTACCCCGCTTTTAGCAATATTTCAGCAATATCACAGCTGGGAACACCAGAAATGGGCTTCACACATTAAGCCCACGTGGAGAACCGAACTTAGATCTTCAGTGTGGCAAACAAACACCTTAACCACTAGGCCAGCCCACCCACCCCTCCAGCTTGCAATTATTTAGTGTGTACACCCTGTGGCTCTAAGTCCCAATAGACTATTCTTGTGCTATTAATTGCAGTCAAGTCTTTCCATGTAGACTGGGGCCTGGGTTCGCATACTGAGCATCATCTGAACTAGGTTGAAATTCAGTATCATAAACAATTCTGACGAACAGCCATTTTGAATTTCCTCTTCTCTATGTCTTTGAGCAGGGTTTGGTAAAAAATTAGATATATTTAACAATGTGTTTTCCTTTATCAAATTAGTCATACAAAAAAACTCTCATATTCAGTTTGGGAAATAGGCCCTCCTACTTTAATACCATCGACAAGCAGTTAAAGACTTGAGCAAATTATAATGCTATCAACTTTGAATCTGTCAAAACAGCAATTTTCTCATTTGCAAACTCAAGTTTAATGATAATTTCATTCTAGCAATAATTGGCTGTCTCAGTTATACAACAACATTGTCTGAATTTCAAAGAAGACAGTAATTACTGTGTCTAGACCAAGCCAGGAAATCATCTCAACATAATCAAGGCTCTCTTTATAGAGAATTCTTCACAAGCAACCACATAATCTAGTCAAAAGTGTGCATGACTGAATTCAGATAATGAATGATTACTGCGAACATAGAACAAGATAGTAAACTCTGTTGAATATTTTCTGAAATATTATTAATGGAAAAACAAAACAAAATAAATTTCTGTTGAATATTTTCTGAAATGATACAAAACTTAATAAAAATATGGCTTGGAATGTTGTGTCCATGAATTAGAAAGCTCCACCTTAGTAAGTATTGACTTGTATGAGACCTATAGACAGGAATCACGTGTCGGTGACTTCTCCTCCCTGTCATGATGAGTAATAAGATTAAACCTGCTGTCCCAGCTGTCTCTGATACAGTGATGTGTGAAGGAAGAACATCACATCACTACACACACAGCCCAGCAACACAAAATCACCAAAATAATAAATAAGAAACTTTGTTTTTATACGTTTAAAAATATCTTATTTTCAAACTGTTTAACTTCAATAATGTTAAATAATCACCGGAAATTCTGCTGTAATTGTTAGTATTTTTCAGATATTCTTAAAAAAAAGAAAAGCAGCTCAACATTTATTATATAATCAAATATTTTGTTGAAATAATATCCTCAAAATGTTTGATTTAATTAAGCTGTAATGTATTTTTGCTGATAGTTATTTCCGATCTATTGAATTATGAAGGCGAACATATTCATCTATCAAAGTAATGTGGTTGTAATTGGTATTATTTGATTTACATAAATTCCTAATATTTATATTTCAAAGAATCCTCCATAACCTGTTCTTTGTTCAGATGACCAATTATCAGGCCCTCAGCCTGAAAGTGCTCCTACAACTGAACTCACACATCAACTGAACTCAAGTGAAACACTTCCATTCACAGATTTCCTTTTTCCAACTAAAATAATATCAGAGCTGACAAGCACAAACAAGGAATTGTTATGACACAAACCTTCCTTC